TTTTTTAGTGTATTATTTAATACTCCAACGTAGTCGGAATTTGATGTTGTGTTTGGAGGAGAGGAAGGCTAATTATGATGAAAAGTAAGACATAGAAGAAGAGAATAAAATGTTCGATGATTGTGGGCAGATTTCGAAGATTCATTTTCATAGGTGAAGGTTGTGGCGGATCTAGGGTTTCATATTGGATGAGTGCGTATGACTACTAATGTCTATGGATTACTATGAGTGTCTACGAATGGTTAGCGGTTAGGATTCAAAATGGGAGCTAGGGTTTAAGAGTACGTGACTACGGATTACTATGGTTACTACATGTGTCTATAGATGACTACGACCGATTTAGTTTTAAAAACATTCATAATGTTCAATATTAGTATACTATAGTACGCCATAGTATACGATAGTACACTACTTTTAAAATTTGCAGTACTATTTAACAAAAATGAAAAATATTATTTTTCGTAATTTTTAATAAAATGTTAAAAATAAGGAAAAAAACTAAGTTGCTTATAATAATGTAAAAATGCTAGAGTGAAAAATGAAAAAGAATATGTTAGGTGGAAGGCGTAATAAAAAATGATAAATGCAGTTTGAATTTTACTTAATGCAAATTTTGAATTTGTGAGTGGAGGGGTATTTTTGGAATGAATTTAATAAAGGATGTGAAGCAAAGATTTAATTGGACTTGTCATTTAGTTCTAATTAGTTTTGTCACGAGGGACCTATATCTTAAGGCCCTTTTTTGTTAGTTTATCAAAGTCAAACTCAAGAAAACAAAAAAGAAAATAAAATAAAAATAAATAAATAAAAATTACCCAATTGCCACACCTTTCGTCAACTTTCCCCTTCTTCCCTTCCAACAACCCTCTGCAAGTCCACACACTCTCTCTCTCTCTCTCTCTCTCTCTCTCTATACGTATACGTACACACATTAATCCCTTCATATATATTCTAAATTCGAGATCTATTCATTCCTCTTTCATAGTTTCTTCTTCTTGCCAAGTTTTTCTATTTTCCATAAAGTTTCATAACTGTATGTATGTATGTATGTCTAAGGTTCCCCACCCTTTTTCACTGCTTTACTTCAACAAATTTCAGATTGTTTGAATCCCTCGGAATAATTATCTTATTGTTTACTGAAAACATAGAGCCCTTGCGTTTGTGTTACTGGGGCATTGAGAAATCTTTTCGCGGATCTTAATATCTCGATCTCGGAGATAACTGTTTGATTTAGGGGTTCAGATTTAAAATTGGGTGAGTTCCTTCAGTTCAATTTTGACTCTTATTTATTTTATTCAAGTCTCCATGGTGCAATCAGCAACAGAAGAAATTAGGTTTAATTTCTCTACAAGTTTCGCTACCAAAACTTTGATTGGGCGTTTCAGATTTAAACTTATTTTGAATGATGGGTTTTCTCCATTTCTGGGTTTTACATGGTCCTGAGTTGTTTCGTAGGAATTTAGGATTCAATCTTACATCATTGACCGAATTTCAGTTGATTCTCATTCAAAAGTTTAGGTTGAAAACATCCTTTTTCTTCTTTACTTACCTAATCCTCTCTCTCTCTCTCTGCGGTCCTGAAACTGAATTCGTGTATGTATTTCCTTTTCCTATTTTTGAATAGTGGATTAAGAGTATTTTTCACAGATTTTCCTGATTGCTTCTTTTGCCTTTGCTGCAGTAACCATCTTAGTTTCTGATTACTTTATGCTAATTAAGGATTATCTTAGACATATTTCGAGTCCTCGGCTATTGGGCTATTGGTAATCAAGCTCTAGCTCCTAATGGAATAACTACGATTTATATTACTGTTTCTTATAATCCCTGTAGGATCTGTTTATATTATGTCTTACTTTTAGTTAATTGACAGTTTACCATATGTTGTTTTCTACTGCACATCAAAATTCCCGATTCACGGTTTGGTGTGGTTTGGATGTCTGCATCAGAATCTTCATTGAAAACCATTGCAACTTTTACTTAATTGACAGTTTACTATCTGTTGTTTTTGACTGAACATCAAAATTCCTGATTCTTGATTTGATTTGGTTTAGTTGTGTGCATCAGAATCTTCATTGCGGTGAATACGGAAGGAAATGAAGGATGTGTTCTTGGTTGGGAAGATCAGTGTCCACATGTTTGCGCCCTTTCAGTCGATATGCCCGTATGAACAGGGATGATGACGAGGGTTTGGGAAGTGATGACGATGCACTTCTCTGGTCAAGAGACCTCGAGAAGCATTCCAATGGCGAGTTTTCATTTGCTGTAGTCCAGGCAAATGAAGTCCTTGAAGATCATAGCCAGGTCGAGACTGGCCGACATGCCACTTTTATCGGGGTTTATGATGGCCATGGTGGGCCTGAGGCAGCAAGATACATCTCTGACCACATGTTTAATCATTTACTTAGTGAGCCTTTGTTTCCCTTTGCCTTATTTTTTTCTTCTATTATAGCTCTCTTCTACATTTATGTTACATTTGGAGATTTCCTTTGATAGGATATGTTGCTTTCTTGAACCTAATGCATACTGGTCAATTGTCATGGCTTGGTTTGTCGAGAGATGGATTATTGCTTATTAGCCTGTTGATATAAATTTTAGAAAATATGTATCGGTAAGTTGTGATACTAGTAACGACTAAATTTATTGGTAATTTAACAAAATTAAGGTAGTAGTGAAGGACAGCCCTACATAACGGAGGCTATAGAGAAATAAAATACAATGAAGGGAATAAATGGTAAAAGGGCCTTTTTGAGGGGCACACTTTATTCTTTAGCTTAATTGCCTTTTTTTGCTTCTCCTTTGATTTGTTTTTTTCTTCTTTCATTGTCTGTGATTGTCTGTTTCAATATGTGGATGGATCAAGCCTTATATAGCCCACTTCTGGACTTTTGAGCTACATGATGGCATCCGTTGCAAATATTTGTTCGTAGTTGATATTAGTGAATTTGTGTGTTGCATGATATGACCCCCCCATTTCTCTTTATATAGGACTCGCACAAGAAAATGGAATGATGTCCGAGGATATTCTCAGAAATGCAACTTCTGAGACGGAAAATGGTTTTCTAACTCTTGTTAGGAGAGCTTACACAATAAGACCAACAATTGCAGCAGTTGGATCTTGTTGTCTAGTCGGAGTTATTTGGAAGGGGACATTGTATATTGCTAATCTAGGAGATTCTAGAGCTGTAATGGGGTATATGGACAGATCGAATAAAATCGTAGCTGAGCAGTTGACCAGAGACCACAATGCATGTATGGACGAGGTTAGAAAAGAATTAAAGACTTTACATCCAGAAGATTCGCAAATTCTTGTGATGAAGCAAGGTGTTTGGCGTGTCAAGGGCATTATACAGGTGAATAACTATTATTATTGCAGCAGTTGTATGTTTTAGTATGTGCTATGCATACATGTGTTTTTAAGTATATGTATACATGTGCTTTTACAGGTATCTAGGTCTATAGGTGATGCTTATCTGAAGAGGCCAGAGTTTGCTCTCGATCCATCTTTTCCTCGTTTTCATCTTACGGAACCTCTTCGTCGCCCAGTCTTGAGAGCTGATCCTGCCATCTTCACTCGAAATTTGCAGACGAACGATAAATTCGTCATTTTTGCATCTGATGGTCTTTGGGAACACTTGACCAATCAGGAGGCTGTTCAGCTGGTTCACAATCACCCAAGAGTGGTGAGTTCTTTTGGTTGTTTTTTTTTTTTTTTAATATATTTTAATATTCGCCCTAATTGATGGGGTTTTTTTTTGGTGATTAGGGGATAGCTAGAAGACTAGTAATATCAGCTTTGTCGAAAGCAGCAAAGACAAGACAAATATCTTTCAATGAAATAAAGAAACTGGATAAGGGGGTGAGGAGACATATTCATGATGATATTACAGTTGTTGTCATATTCATAGACCGTGAGATGATGGACAAGAAAAACTCGGCACCTGAACTGTCTGTACGAGGATTCGTGGATACTGTGGGCCCATCAACTTTCAATTTCTAGTAACACGTAAAATTCAGGAGTGCTCGTTGAAATCGTCAGCATAACATAGCCAAGGTGCACTGCAGCAGTAATTTTTGAGTTTGTTCGACCACTTGTATAACCTTGTTTGTTATATTATTTTTTTTGGTTTATTTTCGAATTGCATTTTGATGACTTTCTTTGTGGATGGCGCATTCATTGTGTACACAGCCTATTAGTCTTTTTCGTCTCTTTGATTTGATTTTCTCGTGACCACGTAGTTAAGTTTCTAATTTTGTTGGGTGGAATAAACATCTAATGTCACTACATGTGTAATGGATTGTGTTACAAGAGCAATGGAACGGGATCGAAATACTGTGTTACTTGTGTATGGCATGTGTACTCTTTTCTTTCTTTTTGGGTGATGGCACTCAGAACTGTTTTAATAGGATTGGATATGAATTATAATTGTGTTTTGTTTTCGTTCCATGTGCTCGCTTGTATGAATTATAATGAGTTTGGTTTCGGTTTCGGTTTCGTGTAAAAAACGAACGTTCATTGGTAAGAAAAGATTGATTGGTGCTCTTTATGAAATCAATAATCCAATAAATAAAAATTTAATGCTACTAGTGAATCCAAGAAGCATAATAGTGTTGTGCAACATACAAGTCACGTGCATGTTTCATCCAAAACTCAAATCATAATACCTTTTAAAAATACACAACTCTTCTACAAATTAACATAAACGGCAAAAATGAATACCGTTTCCATGTCAAATATTCATCAAATCTTAAATATTAAAACACCCATACGAAAGTAGACGAAAAAATAAAATAAAAAAGGCAAATGACGAGAAGCAGACGGTACATCAATCATATGATTTTTGCATCAATCTCTTCGAGTGTGTTGCTTAGAAGCATTTTCTGTGAACAATCGACGGACCAGACTCATCATACTCTGCCTTGGCTATCCACATCTGCAATTCAAATACAAGATAGATCGATAAGCATTTTTCTTGAAGCTTATTTAATCATATAATAAATATTTGCAATGTTGGAAAATATTAAACATACCTGCTGGAATGTGCTGAGAGAAGCCAAAATGGAACCTCCGATCCAGACACTGTACTTCCTCTCGGGAGGAGCCACCACCTTGATCTTCATGCTGCTAGGAGCAAGAGCCGTAATTTCCTTGCTCATCCTGTCAGCAATACCTGGGAACATGGTGGACCCACCACTGAGAACAATGTTTCCGTAAAGATCCTTCCTAATATCAACGTCACACTTCATGATGGAATTGTAAGTAGTTTCGTGAATTCCAGCAGCTTCCATTCCGACCATGGATGGCTGGAAGAGAACCTCCGGGCAACGGAATCTCTCTGCCCCAATGGTGATCACCTGCCCGTCGGGCAGCTCATAGTTCTTCTCCACAGCTGAGCTGGTCTTTGCTGTCTCCACCTCTTGCTCGTAATCGAGAGCGATATAAGCCAACTTCTCTTTTATGTCTCTCACGATTTCTCGCTCTGCAGTTGTGGTGAATGAGTAACCTCTCTCGGTCAATATCTTCATGAGGTGGTCTGTGAGGTCACGCCCTGCCAGATCCAGACGCAGGATTGCATGGGGGAGCGCGTAACCTTCGTAGATGGGTACTGTGTGGCTGACACCATCTCCAGAGTCGAGAACAATACCTACCAATCAAGAGAAAATACAATTAATTTGATTTATAGTGGTGATAATTTCATTAATCAAGATAACTGTAACTAATATTCACTGCATATTATACTCATAGTCACTCCATAACAAAAGAGCAGAATCTCAGTTATGTCAAGCATCGGTTAACAGAAAAAATAGTATATTCTTACCAGTAGTCCGACCACTGGCATAAAGGGAGAGAACAGCCTGAATTGCAACATACATGGCAGGGGCATTGAAGGTCTCAAACATGATTTGAGTCATTTTTTCACGATTAGCCTTGGGATTAAGAGGAGCTTCTGTCAAGAGAATGGGGTGCTCTTCTGGAGCTACACGAAGCTCGTTGTAGAATGTGTGATGCCAGATTTTCTCCATGTCATCCCAGTTGTTGACAATTCCATGCTCAATTGGATATTTGAGTGTCAAAATACCTCTCTTGGACTGAGCCTCATCACCAACATAGGCGTCTTTTTGGCCCATGCCAACCATCACACCAGTGTGACGAGGGCGTCCCACTATGCTGGGGAACACAGCTCTTGGAGCATCATCTCCAGCAAATCCAGCCTGGCAATTTTGAGATCAAAATTCAATAATAAACTGTAAGAATCGCTACTGGTAAATCATAATGAGTTTTACAATGTTTTGGATGATAAGGATTACCTTGACCATTCCAGTTCCATTGTCACAAACAAGGGGCTGGATATCCTCAGCTTCTGCCATCTCTTAATTTGCTCTGGAGAATAAAAATTAAAAACACATATTCAATTTTGGACACAATCTCGTAAAATACATAAGTTTTGCATCTAAAGTCATGCTAACACTTGACCAAATAAAATTTTATGGCAATAGCACATGATGTGTACAGTTCTCATAAAATCTCAGGAAACTAACAATGGCCAATCATCAGATTACTATAAAGAAGTATTATATAGTTTATCAGATATCGCATAAATTAGTACCAGTCGATGCATTACATTTTCCTCAAAAGCAATTTTAAGATCGAGAAATGTTTCACACGCCAAGGAATCTTATCATAGTGTACTGAAACTAAATATTGCTTTCTGATAGAGAACATGATAGGATATGATATAAGCATTTCTAAACACTGTGAAGATATTTCAACTTCTTCACAGATTATGAAACAAGTGGCTTTAAAGCACAAACGAAGCAAAACGATAAATACTTTGAATCTTTCCTCTACAAGTTTACATGCATATTGGGTAAAATCGATAACTTATAATTTCATTTGGCTGTGGTTTTAGTTGAATACCTCAATGACAATAATCTTCATACCTTTCAGTATTAACTAACATAACAATCACAAGCACATGTAATTAAGCAAATAACGAGTGAATCACTTTATCCATATTTCACCTCTTCAAACCCCAGATAAATTCCATACAACAACAGAACACCTTCGTTAATAATACTAAGCAAAACTTCGTATCACCCGAAATTTGATGTTAGGTCATAATTCAGAACACTCATTTCCAGATCCATGAAATCAGATTTATGAAAAGCATAAAGCATACAGATCTCAAAACATAAACCAAACAGAAAACAACTCATTTCACAGATCAAAAAACTCGGAGGTGGTAAAAGACGATACACATTACGAGATCCAATTTTTCGTTAAAAATGGAGAGAACAACTGAACTTGTTACCTAAAATGGGCATAATTACCGAATTAGTGAGATGAAACGGAATAATTAAAGGCTTAAACACCGTACCTTTGTGGCCTTGTCGAAAATGGGTCTCTCTCTCTCTCTCTCTCTCTCGCTCTGCTTCTGCTTTCTGCTCTTGCTGTGTGAATTCTCTCTCTCTCTCTCTCTCTCTATCTCTGTGTGCGAGTGTGTGTGAGTGGTGTGTGATAAATAAGACCTATGTTTTTTTCTTTGCCTAGGTGTTGCCCTCGTGTTTAAAGCACATAAATTGAATCTCAGCCTCAGATGAAATTCATCTTAAATGAACCTCAAATTCATATTTTTGAAAGATCACAGCCGTCCATTTCTTATGATGTGAATCCGTGGTGTGTGGGACCCATGACAGCATCACATTCCTGGCAGGCTGGCCTAATGCATTTTTTTAGTACGGATTTACCCCTCGCGTGCCAACCATTTCCGAACCATCTCGATGGATCTTCGGAGGTCAATTTCGGACTTTCACATTTTAAAGTTTCAGTTAAAAATTGATTTCTCAAAAAGACGAAATCAAGAGTTGCTATTTACACATCTTTCTTCCATCTGCTTTTGTCCTCCACATGATTTTGATAATTAGTTGGAAATTATTAAATAAAACTTTTATAAATCCCAAATTTACCACCATGCATGCATTGTCCAACCAGTACACATTTAAGGGCACTTTTGTCTTACCACAAGTTTCCCCATAAATTAAAAAATAAAATCCTACCTTTTTCTTTATTTATTTAATTTTTTTTTGGCCCCCCTTATTTTTCCAATAAAATCCTTTTTTTTTTGGCCCCCCTTCGTGTGGGATTAATGGGTAGGTGGATTAGCAATGATAAACACCTAAATGGGTTGATATACAATGTGGGCCCACCGCCTACTCAGCATTTCATTCCATCAGTATGGAGATCATGTGACCCTTATTATTTTTTTCAAGTATTGGTTAGTGTCAATGATGTCTAATAAAGAAATTGGTACTACTTTAATAAAGTGCTTTTAAATACAACTTTGAAAATAGATTAAGGTACAATTATGTTGTGATTTGACATCATTTATAATGTAGATCAGAAAATCACATCGAGTTGAAATTAAATCAAGAGAACTGATAAAATAATAAAATAAAGTAGTGATTTCGAGTCTGTTTGAACCCGTTTAATTAAAACTTGCCTTGGTGTAAAAGATTGTCCTTGTCATAGGCATATGGCCGGTTGAGGTCTTTATCAATAAAAACTAGGTTCATGTGATTTAAAGTTAGGGATTTTTCTATTTTAAGATGCACACTTCCTTCTTTCCATTCATTGTTATAATTATTGCCATATACCTTGTCTTGTAAGATTTCGATGTTTTCACTCTTCTATGTAAGAATATACGAAACTTAGAATTCAAATCATCTGCCTTGAGTAAATTGAAAGATCGATCATTATTGTTAAAATCGTATGATTCGTTCTGATTTGAACTCTTTCCGATTAAGATTGTTGAATAAATTGTAAATAAAAAAAAACATACGATCTACGACTCGATTTATACGATTTGAGAAAAATTATATTTTTTGAGCAAAAAATGTAAACAAATAAAAGGGCTTTTTTGTAAAGGAAAAAATAAATTAAATTAAATTAAAAGGGGATTATAATGTAAAGGGCCCATTCAGCAACAGCAGGCAGACAGAAGAAAAGCCCATCTTCAAACCAGCCCATCATTTTCTGGATTAAGGGGCCCCAATTATTTCATAATATTATTTTCTTCCCTTGGATTTTTCCCACCTCCAGAAAATCTTGCCCAAGTTCATCCTTGGCAATCAATTTTTTATTTTTTTTAATTAGCAACTACTAATAATAATGCTAAAAGCTATACAAATTCTTGGTTCTTCTTCTTCGTCTTCATCGGGGTGCTTCTTCCTTCACCACAGATTAAAGAAGCCCCGGTCGAGTTTTTCTTTAATTTCAAGAAAACCCATTGAAGCATCAATTCCAGAATCATCAAAATTACATAATTTGGCTTTTCGATTTCGCAAAGGTTGCTCCTTTAGAGCTTTCCAAATGCCAAACACTAATTCTGAGTCAACCCCAGATGGTGATTCGCTTTCTTCTTCATCGCTAACGTCGACTGCAGCAGTTCAGACAACTGTGAGTGTTTGTTCTTGATTTATTTTTCTTGTTATTATTACTCACTGCTTTATTATGTTTCTTGATTTCTGTTTCTTACCCTAAATAAATCTTGTACCGGATTGATGGGTTTTGTGCACCGTATTGATAGGGATAATTTGGCTGTACTATATATTTCAAGATAAGATGTTTGACTCAGGTTATCATAATACACATTAGCATAAAATTATAATTTACTTGATAAGTTGTAGTAATTACAATGCATCTTATGATTGGTGGCATTAGTATCAATCCGGATATACACGATTTCGTTTCCGTTTTTCTTTCATTTGCTGTTCTAACTTAGTTCTAGTTTCTAACAATCTTCAGGGATTTACTAAGAAAGTCAGTTTCTGCCAATGGTGTGGTGGCCCGACAAAGCACGAGATACCCGACGGGGAGGAAAAACCGAGGGCTATTTGCACGAAGTGTGGGAAAATATTTTACGAGAATCCGAAAATGGTGAGTGTGAGGAATATGTGAAACAATTTGAGCACTATGTCAGTAATTTTCTGAACATTACGTGTTTCTTTCGAATGTCAAAAGAAGTACGTTGTCGTGAAAGATAATCAAGAAATGCTGAAAGTTCCCCTTTGAATTTGTTGCTACATATAGAAATTTCGTAAAATGACATTGAGAAATTATTTAAGTTTTGACTGATGATCTTGATTTGTGTATGCTAGTACCAGCGTATCTTAGTGTTTTTTTTTTAGTTAACAATTTTTAGGTAACCTTTGGTTAATCGTCATCGGTGAGAATCTATTTAAGAATCTTTGTTAAATAACTTTGGTTGCACTAGTAACTTTAATTTGATGTCGACTTAATAGGTAGTGGGTTGCCTCATTGAGCATGAAAACAAGATACTGCTGTGCAAACGGAATATTCAACCATCATACGGCCTTTGGTAAGCATTGAGTCGAACTTTATCTCAAACAGGGAGAATTTTTACTACCAAACACCTATTTCACTTCCGATGAATATAGATTTCAAGAAAATGCTATTTCTTACCAACCAAACGAGGCCTTAATAATCGTTTCGGCTGCATGTGTAGGACCCTCCCCGCTGGTTACCTGGAGATTGGGGAGTCTGCTGCTGAAGGAGCCACTAGGGAAACTTGGGAAGAGGCAAATGCCGACGTGGAAGTCCAGTCACCATTTGCTCAATTGGACATCCCTCTTATTGGCCAAGTAAGGAGCATTTCAAATTTCAACACATACTTGTTTTTTGTGCATTGTATTAAAAAAAGCGTCGTTGCCTTTGATGTGGACAGACTTACGTTATTTTCCTGGCAAAGTTGAAGAGACCCGACTTTTCACCGGGTCCAGAATCATCGGAATGCCAGCTTTTTGCAGCGGAGGATATTCCTTTTGATTCTTTGGCATTTTCGTCAATGCTGGTTACTTTGAAATTGGTTAGTTCTCGCTGCAATTTCCCTGTTCGATTATCTTTACTAATTTTACGTGTTGAGTACTTACATGATGTGATTTCTACATTTTTGTTGCTATAGTACTTGGAAGATATAAAGGTTGGAAGACCCAAGTTTCACTATGGCATCATAAACAAAAGGTGATTTCTTTAAACCATGCTTCTGAATTTATGTTGAGCTATACCTCTGCTAAAGATTATAACGGTTAAATATATAGTTTACTGTTTGAAACAAGTCGAACACAGGCCACGATTATGATTTTTATTTTTTTGGCCAAAGTGTATATACGTTTCTAACTGGAAGCTCGTTTGACAGGCCCGGAACAAGCCCCTCTGACATTCGTGCCTACACGCTCGATCATCATATGAAATGTTGATTCCGATGCAAAATATCTTGTGCCGTTTATAGATGAATCGGAAGGTAGAGCGAGTTTATTGTCTGTAGTTCGTAAACTTGATGTAACCTGATGGTAGATATAATTACGTAATTGTTCAAAAGATTTAGCTTCATTCGGTTCTTGTAATTTGTTCATGTAGTTAATGCAGTGGCTCACATGATTTTCATCTTCCATTGATACTGTTGTAAATCAAAGTCATCTGCTTTCTTTCTGTATGAAAAGATCTAAAATTCAAAATTAATAATTTTCTATTTTTGATTAATAAAGAAAAGGTAAAAGTAGTAGATTTCATTACAGCCAAATAAACAATCAGAAAGCAAATAAAACTTCTGCCTGCATCATTTGACACCTACTGCTGGACACTTGTCAACACCCCATTAAAACTTCCTCACCGATTGACACGTTTCATACTCTACTATTCTGTACAAATTTCCCACCATATATTTTATCCAACTCCATTTGAATTCTTAAAAAGATTTGAAGTAGTTTAAAGAAAATTAAAAATGCAGTCAGCAAAGGAAACAGCGGCGAGTATAGCAGCTTCAGCAAAGGCTGGCATGGAGAAAACCAAGGCCACGGTTCAAGAAAAGGTTTTCCATTTTTCTTATTGTTCTCCATTTTTCTGTTGTTACCCTTGTTTATGTGTTGATTAATTTGCACAGGCAGAGAAGATGACGACCGGTGACCCGCTTCAAAAGGAAATGGCTACTCAGAAGAAAGACGAGAGGATTCACGAGGCTGAGCGCGAGAAGCACGAGGCCACCGGAGGCGGAGCTTTCGGCCACGACTACACAACTGCACCACCGTACACTGCTGAAGGTGGGCCCCACCCGCAGACGACAACCCGGACTCCAACAGATCCGGTAACTGGTGTAGCTGGGCGGGTCGGGCATCAGGACCCAAATACATATTAATGTTTCGTGTGATTATGTATTTTGAAGACTGTATTTCGAAGACTTCTGTAGTAGGTTTATATGGTTGTGAAAAATTACTACCTTGTCTCAACATTCCAAATAATTCAAATTAGTTAAAAAAGTGAACAGAATTTATTAAAGAACAGCAAGCAAGAAAACACAGCAAACTAAACAACAAGCCAACAGCCAAGATTGTCATCCTCACATATTGCTAAATGCTACACGAGTATCTACCACTTCGATTATAAATCGCACAAGAAGAAGAAAAAAAAATCGGCTACCCTGTTTTCCTCAACTCCGCTGCTCCGTGCGCAAAATGGCACTTATCGCCAAAGGTGCACGACCCTTTGGAGAATTTCTCACATAGCTTAGTCTTCAAGAAATTACCCGTCGATCCCGACATAGCTCCCGACCCCTTGGCGTGGGCCCTTGCAGCCGAACCTATATTAACAATGAGCTCTCTCACCATAGCACTCGCTTGTTGAATCTGTTCGAACGAACCTTCAAGCTCGATATTCCTAAGATTTGGATCCGTTTCGTGATCTCTAACGGCCAGCTTCACCCCTGCCTGTCTGCATATCTGCTTCGAGTTCACTCCACCTTTCCCAATAACAGCACCTGCTAAAGAAGCATCGACGCTTATCTTTGCAGTGGCGGATGCACCGAAGCTGACTGCGGGTGGCGGGTCGACCCGTGGGGCGTAACGGGTTTGGTTAGTAGCGGGTCCAACGGAACGGGGATTCTCTTGGGAAGGTGGAATGGGTTTGCCAAGCTCCCACTCGCCGTGGGCGAAGTTGCAGTTGTCGCCGAATTTGCAGCCTTCTGCGGTTTTGTATCGGACGCATACTTTGGTTTTGACGGCAGATGGGGCTGAGCCGTTGTGGCTTTGGACAGGTGGCGGCGGTCCGTGAACTGGTCTGGATGGAGGAGCGGGGCTCAGGTTCATCATTTGGGCAACGGTTTTGTAGCCACCTGGAACAAAGTGGAGGAAGTGGCAGTTTTCGCCAAATGGACAACCACCAGTGCTGCAAATAATACAACGGAAAACAAATTACAAATTATATCCTCCCTCAGCTGCTCCAAAGTTTTCGGTGAAGCATCATATTAATTATATAACAGAAATACTACGATTAGTACTTGAAGCTAGTCGTGTTCTCATATTAACCAACGATTTTACCTTATCTTCATTCAAATCTCCCCAACCGTGCACACATACAAAAAAACAAGTATTACCAAACCATGTTTATTGTTTCATTTTATCTTCCTATCTCACAGGGAAACCATAAATAAAGCAAAAGTTTTAAAAACAGAAAGGGCTAACCTTAAACATAATATGCAGACTATAGAAGATAGATATGCACAATCTGGCAAATTTTTAGATCATCTAATAGGTATAGAATACCCAATTCGAGTACTCGTACACAATGAGGGAAGTTCATAATCACTCACATGCTAGATATGCTATACATATTATATTATTAATAAACAATATGCTAACTACACTGTACCACAAATGATTAAAATCAAAATTACTTGTATCTAATGAGAGGTAGTGGCGATAAAATCTTACTCTTCCATGTGCATCCAGATATTTATCGACTCTGGATGATTTTAACATTGCTATAAAATTTCTGTTTTTTATGCAGAATGAAATTGGTTAATTAATGAGTTTACTGTATTACATAACTCAGTTGTTGCAGCTGTATATCATATATAAAATAATTAGTTCAATCACAATGAGCACTACCGTCACTTTGTGAACATTTAAATTTAAAGTATTGTTTTAGGTAGGTTGAGATTTGAACCTGAAAAACTTCGTGCATGGCTTCAATTTGCTTCCTATACCACTCGATAAGGAGTCCATTTCTGTTGCAAAACATTAATTACTTTTTCTCAGTTAATATTTTTATTCATTCTTACCATTATCCATATAAGTGTTACCATTACTAATCACCACCGGCAATTATAAAAAATATACTTTTAAATTAATTACAAAATTCTAACAGCTGAGTTATATAAGTACCAATGTCCTGCTCATCAGTAAAATCTTGAATTTCATGTATACATACAAAACAATTTCTTAATTCAATATTTATTAAACTTAAAACATATTTATTTTTTGAGGGGGCTAACCACCTCTCCATAAAAAAAAAAAGCTTATTACAAAATTACAAATTCACAACCTTTTTTTTTAGGTATTTTTCCATGACATCCGATAAAGCTATAATGCAGTAATGATGCAGAGCTATCTCTTGGGAGCAATTACAATACTATATATACACATATATGCACACAGAAGAAACATATATAAGAATATTCATGCAAATAAATCCACCTGTTCAAGCACGAATTGAAACCTAATCAGCAAAAAAAAAAAAAAAAAAAAAAACCTGGCTTAAATTTCTTGAAACTGCCGTTGGGGAATTCACCTCCGCCTCGCTTGCGAATGTCCATAGCTCACAGATCAAGAGCAAATCGGATAAAAACAAAGTCAACTAAAAAATCGATTTTTAAGAAAAAGAAAATCCCCAAATTCACGAAAAGAGGGGAAACAAAATCCGAGAAAGTATGATAACTACGAGTTATAGTAGAACAGCAAACAAAAACACAAAATTAATTGGTCGAAATCGGACCCTAATCCTATTATACACTAGGGTTTTTCACGGGCCGTGCGAAAAATCAACAACCTAATACTAATAAGATTGGGGGATATTTCTTGAATTGGAAAATTCTTGTCGGGTGAGAAAAAAATCGAAACACGTATGGGATGTCACGTGCTCCTCGATGAAGTGAGTCACGTGCACATATAATGGGCCTTTATAAAAGCCCAGCATTGAGCGAAATTGGGCCAAATCAAAAGCCCATGTGTAGGGGTAAAATGGTCATTACAATCTGCGCGCATCTGCCAAAAATGGAACTGCACCTCTCACACTGAACGACACTTTCAAAGCTTCCCAACAGTCTTTAGACCAACTAACATAGTTTTCATCGAAAACCCACATATATACAAACAACTCTCCTCGTAATACATACACACACACATTTCGTACAGCTCCTCCTCTGTTTGGCAGAATCGCATACCCTCTCTCGCTGAGAATTTCAAGAAAGGTGAGTTCTTTGATAACGCCGTTAAATGGGGTTTTAGAATGTAGCTTCAAATAGTATATTGATCTGCCGTTGTTAGCTGATTATCTGCCGTTTCTTGGATTTTACTCTATTGTTGTGGTATATATTTAATGTGGGCTGTCATTTTTTTCGCTATTGGCTTCTGCATTTTAGCTTGAAATTTGTTGGTGTTGAATTGTTTTGTGAAGGTTTATTCATCCAGATTAATTGCAGTTGCAGTCAATTCACTTGTGTTTCTTTTTCGTCTCCGATTGCATTTAGATGCCTTGCGATGAAGATCACATTTCGACTAAATTTAGATTTATATGTTTTGCCAAACAAGTATTAGTAGTTTTAAATTCACTAGTGTTTCTTGCTTGTTGGAATTTGAACGCTTTGTATATCCACCGGTAAATCGAGGGTTGATTTGTCAAGAACCAGATTTCTGTTTATGAGAAAAAAAGGAGATTACTACGTGATGTAATTGGTTATTATAATTTTTTTCGACTTATCTTATGTTTTCTCAACAAATTTCGATATTGTACCGATTATCTCTGTCGACCATATGCAGCATCGTCCGACCAAAACGAAAATGGCTGCAACTGCAACTCCAAGCACACAACTCGTGACACCAAAGCCTTGCATTTATGCATCTCGCGGAATTTCAAGATCGAGCTTCGCATGTTTTGGTAATGAAACCAAAGGAACATCTTTGACAACAAAGCTTAGGAGCTCGTCTTTCACACCCGCAACACAATCTCTCTCCAAAACCTATGACTTCAATCCATTGAAATTCGGAAAGCGTGGTGGTATAAAAGCAATGGCCGGAGCAAGTGATAAACAGCCTTTGCCTGGATTGCCTGTCGACTTGAGAGGTCAAATCTCCTCTGTTTTTTCACTCATTTTCTTTTTTCGTAAATTCATGCGTTTACGAGATTTTTTATTTTTTATTTTTAAATACGTGTTTAATTTTCTTCAGGGAAGAGGGCGTTTATTGCTGGAATAGCTGATGATAATGGGTATGGATGGGCAATTGCAAAATCCCTTGCTGCTGCCGGTGCTGAAATTCTCGTTGGTACATGGGTTCCTGTATGTATATCAACTTTACGTACATTTCACCCTATTACTATTTTTTTAAAATAACAGAAAATTTAGCCTTTTCCCTTATGAGAAATCTTACTTTTTTAGGCTCTAAATATCTTTGAGACCAGCCTACGACGTGGAAAGTTTGACGAATCGCGTGTGTAAGAATTAATCTTTTCTATTTTTTAAAAAATATCTGCAAAATGTACTTGCCTTGTTTTGCTTTCTTTACGAACAATTTTGGAGTTTGGTATTGTAGGCTGCCAGACGGTTCTTTGATGGAAATTACGAAAGTCTACCCACTGGATGCAGTTTACGACTGTCCTGAGGATGTTCCTGAAGATGTAAGAAGTATTTGCATCCATGTTAAACTTTTCTCTACGTATTTTTATTTTTCTGTTTACTAATTTATTTTGTTTGTACCTATTGCAGGTCAAAGCAAATAAACGATATGCAGGATCTTCAAATTGGACTGTGAAGGTTTTAGCTTTCCGACTAACTTCTTCTCGCTTTTTCTTTTTTAATTTTCCATCGACGGGCATTTCTTGTCATCGTCGTTTTTTCAATGGAATTTGTACACATAGATACTTATGTTGAGAAACGCACTTGCTGAAAGCTTCTTGTTTTGCAGGAAGTAGCTGAATCAGTGAAGCAGGATTTCGGAACAATTGATATTCTTGTTCATTCACTTGCCAATGGTCCAGAGGTGTGTTTCTCTCTCTATCTCGATCTTTCTCTCTCTAAAGTCTAAATCCACCATTTCTCTTAAATCGTGGGCACCACACGCAGGTTGTTAAGCCGCTTCTGGAGACGTCCAGATATGGCTATCTGGCAGCCATCTCTGCATCAAGTTATTCCTTTGTTTCTCTTCTCAAACATTTTGCTCCCATCATGAATCCAGGTTTTTTTTTTTCCTTTTGCACCTTCCACTATCTTCCGTGAATAAATAATAATTTAATCTGCCACCAAATTACCTCTTGTTGACAGGTGGCGCCACAATCTCTCTGACATACATTGCATCCGAAAAGATAATACCCGGGTATGGTGGTGGCATGAGTTCTGCAAAGGCTGCTCTAGAGAGCGACACAAAGGTTAGTTTTAATCTCGTTCTTTTCGCCTCTTCTTACATTAATTACCGTAAGATGTTGTAAGAATTATACCTCGTTTGCTGTTTCAGGTGCTTGCTTTTGAAGCTGGACGAAAACACAACATCAGAGTTAACACCATATCCGCAGGTACTTCAAATCATACGAGTATAAGCAATTGCATTTTTTTCTTTATAAGAAATATTCAGTTTATGATTAATTTATTGTGTGACGTAATTCCAGGCCCGTTGAGAAGCCGTGCTGCTAAAGCTATTGGTTTCATCGACATGATGATTGACTACTCCTTGGAGAATGCACCCTTGCAGAAGGAGCTAACTGCCGGTGAGTTGTTTTTTTTCTATTTAATATTTTATTTTGAAAAAAATGCTACTTTTTTTTCGTAACTAAGATTGAGAAATAAACGTAACAGACGAGGTTGGAAATGCTGCTGCTTTTCTGGCATCTCCGTTGGCATCTGCTATAACCGGAGCGGTTGTGTACGTAGACAACGGTCTTAATGCAATGGGAGTTGGAGTTGATAGCCCAGTTTTTCGGGATCTTGATATTCCGAGAGCACAACAAAGCTAGAGCTATATTTCTGCAATTAAAAAGGATTTCAATTAAATTTTTTATCATCGAATAAATGTGGGTGTTTTATTTTTATTTTCTCGCCATTTTGGTGTATTAATTATCAGAGACGGGTGAGCTTTGCATTTGCGAATCAGGAAAAACGTGCTTCTTACTAGGAATAGTTTATGAGTACTGGAAATTTTATGTTGCTACTGTTATATGCCAGTTTTATGATCCAGTTGGTTGTTATCTGAAAGTGAAAATAGCTCTATTTAATTTTTGAAAGCTAATACTCTGAACTTTTTGTATTGGCAACTTGAAATTAAGAATTTTGCAAAAAAGAATAAAAACCTAGAGCAAAGAGATGTGTATATCGAAATTAGGGGTGAAAATCGGACTGAATAATGGATCGTATTCTGAAAGTGAAAAACAGAATTTTGGATCGAAATGAAAAACATTGTTCGATAATCGGCGCAGAGTTAGGGGGGAAATCGATTCGATACCCAAATTCAAAATTGAATGTAAACATACTAATAGATCTAAATTGGAGTTTTCACTTAATATTTAGGCTAGTGTATAATATATTTTGAATTTTCATTTTCCACCAATAATTTCGGTGGTGTGAAGGGAACAAGTCAAAGAATTAGATTGAAATCAATCAATCCAAAATAATTTGAATTTTAAATAAATTTAGGACCTCTCAACATTTTCAAAATTTAAAAAAACCTCTTGTCATCTCATGAAATTGGAAGGGCAAATTTGTCATTTCAAACGCTGAAATAAGGTCAAAATTACAGAGTCCAGATCAGCCCCAATTCTCCTCCCATTAGTTTCGTCCGCCATCGTCTCTCACCAAAAGCTTCAGCCTAATCTCAACACTATATATCACACTGCACACACACACACACACAGATTCTCTACTTTCTGAGTGAGCTTTTATCCCGTTTCAGAAAATAATCTCTCGCAATCAAATATGAAGGCTTCAATCAAATTTAGGGATGAGCAGAAGCCATTGATGAGGGCTAAAGTCCCCTTAAACATTCTTAATTTCCCATTCCAATCGGGAATTGCTGCAGGAGATTCCAAGGAGTTGTCTCTGAATCTCAGCACCTTTTTGGATTTCGGCCCTTCCCTCAAATTCCAGTACCGTCCAAATGATTCGCAAAACCCTTTCGCCTTTATCTTCAAAACCGGAATTGGGCATTTCGGCTCACCCACCAAAAGCCCTTTAACCATGAGCGCCGAATTTAACCTAGTCGGCAATCAGAACCCTAGATTTTTCATCCACTTCAAGCCCGATTTCGGCGATTTCTCGATGAAAAAGTCTCATTCTTCTGGCTTCGTCAAGGATTTGGGGGAGAAATTGAATGGTGGCGTTGTCGGTGAGGAGGGGTTTGTGAACAATGGGTATTTCAAGGGGGCCGGTTTCTTTCCGGCGACGGACGAGTCCAAGGCGGCGGCGGGGCAGCTGGTGAACGGGATGCTTAAAGGTACAGAGCTGAGTGCCAGAACAGCCGTACCTTTGAGAGATTTTGCGAAAGTGAACTTCCGGTGGGGGCTTAGGTTTCCTCCACAAGAGGCGGTGCCAGATGAGGTGGATGCAGTGATGGTGGGGAGGAGGGGTGATCGAACGGCAGATATTAGGCTCCCGCTGTTGGTGATGAACAAAATTGGAATCGAGCATGTGGCGAAACCTCATCCGAAGATGGAGAAAGTGGGGTCCGGTGAGAAGTTCGATACGCTGGCTGAGGCGTGTTTGGATGTAAAGAAACAACTTGGGGTGATTCAAGCTGAGAATGGGCTGTTAAGTAAGGCTTTGAGTGATTTAAGATCAGATATAGCCGCTGGAAAAATGGATTTCTTATCCGAACGCCATCTGAATAAGTATTCCGGTGGCGGGTTTGATCGGAGGGGAAATAAGTATTCCGGTGGCGAAAAGAAATCCTCAGAAGTGATGGATTTTGGTGGCGAAGGTAATAATGGATCGAAGATCGCTTGATCGTACCATGTTAAAGGTTTTGTCTATGTTATCCCTTGCATTTTCATTCATTATGAATATGGACAAGGAGTTAGTTTTGTTTTGAGGTTATTTCTAAGTTTTGAATGTTTGGAGTTGAAATTGCTTTGTGCTAAAGAAATTGTCCTGGTTTATTTTTGCATCTTTTTTGGTCTTATATAGTTATATGTGATGTTGGGGTATGAATATGATGGTGTAAATTGAAGATTTGGATTTCATTTCGTGCATATTATTTATGTGAATGTTTTTTGTTCTTGGATACTATATTTCTGGTTTCAAGAATTCAAAACTTCTGTGGAACTTCTATTCTACATACTGGCATTCAAATATTTGATGGTATTTCTTTAGTTGTTTCTTCAAATTTCAGTGAACAATTGCACATTGCTATGACTTGGTAGCAAAAAAGAATATTCTACTCAATTAAGACAGCTTTAAATGAAATTAAAAGGTTTAAATTTTAGGCTCCTATTTAAGTTGCACATTTACACATAGGAATTATTGTGTTTGAGTAGATGACAGCCTTGACAAATCACAAGCTTACATTATTGAACTCATATTTGTCTTTTCCAATTTGAAAAAAAAAGGAGGGAAGTTCAAAAGAAAAAGGTTTAAAATGATTCACTCTCTCTCTCTCTCTATCTCTATTTTTTTAATAATTTAGTTTTGTGACTTGTGGACCTAAGCCGATACAAGCCGAACATATATAATTATAGGCCCAAATATACAATTAATGGCCCATGATTTCCAGCCCAATAATGGAAATAATATTTGATATTTAAAGATAAATAAAATTGATAAAGTCAGCGAGAAAGGCCCAATAATCCCACCCAGAAAAAGTGGGGAGCCACATTCGTGAATCCCAATAATCACTACCGAGTCGGAAGAGAGCCAAGTCAAGCCAAGCCAAGCCATGAATGGAGTCGACAGTATAAAACCCAAACAGGCACAAGCCCAGTAAGAGAAAAGCGTATAAATCAAAAGGGGCAAATTTTATTTTTTTTGAAAAAAAGGAAAATTTATAATCCAACAAGACAGACGAGAAATATATACACAAGATACAACCCTAGACCTCTGATAACATACCATACCACCTCTTAACCATGACTTAAAACAAAACCAAAAAAAATAAATCTCTGCAAACAATACAATACATAAATTCAAAACAATTAAAACTGTACCAATAAACAAACCAAACGCCTCCTCTCATGACCAAACCGGACGGCGTCGCACCGGAATCCAAAGCCGACGTTACCCCCTCCTGGGGTACTTGGGAGGAGCTCCTCCTCGCCTTTGCCGTCAACCGCCACGGTACCGATTCATGGGACTCTATCGCCTCTGAACTACACAAACGGACCTCCGGCTCCGCCCTCTCTCTCACCGCCCAAAACTGTAGGTCGAAATACTTCGACCTCAAACGCCGTTTCGTCGCGCCGAACGGTGATTTGGAGGAAGACGACTCCCGTGATGGTAAATCGGACTCCGCCCCCTTGCTGGAGGAGCTGAGGAAATTGAGAGTGGCGGAACTCCGGCGTGAAGTGCAACGTTACGATCTCAACATCGAGTACTCTTTTTAGATGTGCATATAACTAATTCTTAGGAGATCTGAACGTTGAAAATTTGGTGAAATGGAGATAGATTTTATTTTTATTTCTGATTTGGTGCGTCTGTACAGGTCATTGGAGTTGAAGAAGAAGAAATTGGAAGAGGAACGAGAGAGAAGTTTGAGGAGAGAGAAAATCGATTCGGATCTAGGTGAGGGAGATGAGAAAATTGGTATGGAACCGGAGATGGAGCCGGCGGCCGGCGGAGAACCAGTCACCGGCGATGATTTGGAGAAGGATGATTTGTCGGTGAACGAATCAAACTCCACAGATCCCGGCCTGGAGAAGTCGATAGCCGGCGAGAAAGAACCGGAACCGGGGAGAACGGGAGGAGAGGAGGTACGACGGGATCAAACCGGTCAGACGACTGAGTTAAAACCGGAACCAAATCAGAAGGCGGTTCGGGAGGATTCCTGCAACGGGAGTTCAAATAGTATAGACGAGTCGGACCGGAAGGCGAAAGCTGAACCGGTAACCGATTCGACCGATTTAGTTGAGTCAGAGGCCGAGTCAGACGGCGGAAGAGAGGAGGCGACGAAGGAAAACTCCGATGTGCAGAGTTCCGCCAGTAGATCGAGGAAGGAGGAGGGAAGTGATAAGGTGCGCCGCGGTAATATGAGTGGCGATGAGCGTGAACACGAGGATCAATCTCGTGCCGTGAAGGAATTGTCTGCCGAATCGCAGCCGTTGGCTGACTTTCTGCAGGCTATCCGGGCTCATAAGCTCGGCTCGGTCTTCGAGCGGCGGCTCCGGAGTCAGGTGACATATTCATGTTCATTATTCTTTTTTTTATTTGCAAGATCTTTTATTTATTTTATTAGTTTATATTTTTTTTGTTTTTTCACAATGGTTTGGTTTAGTGGTACTGGTACGGTGCTGCACTACAATTGACGTGCTTTATTTATTTTTCTTATTATTAATTTAAAGATTGTTTTCGGGTTTTCCGTCATTGACCAGTCAACTCTAAGATTCCACATTTTGTTTTATTTATTTATTTATTCCGATATCCATTTAGCTTATGAAAAAGTAACTAAATAAAATGTTCAAGGGTAAAATGGTCTGTTACTCAAAGCCCAAACTTAGGTAGGTGTATGGGTCACTGTTTTCTTGACCCATTCGGAACATACATACATGATACATATACACACATTTATATTTTTCGTACAGTTAGTAATTTACAAGACAAGCAACACTTATTATTTAATTTAGCAGAAGAAAAAACCGTGTTTGTTAATATTCTATTTTTTAAGTTATAATCACATTATTGTAATGATTTAGCATTTACATAGAATATCTTTAATATTTTCATGGTTATATTAGCTGTCTCATTGTCTTTACTCTTTTGATGTCAACAACTCACAAACGTGGATCCTTTTGTGCTGTCAAATAGTATTATATTTTACAATCAGCTTTTTTTTTTAATATACAAAATATTTTACAGTCAGTTTAATATGTAAGTAATTCTTGTATCTTTTTATTTTTTTCAATAAGCATAGGATTTAGGTAACCCTATGATTTTGAAATTGCTCCATGCGTTTTATAATTACACATCTATTGAGTAGTAATTATTTTCTTAAACAAGTGTGACATATCCTATTTGCAGGAAACCTCGAAATATAATAAGTTGATTCTCCAGCACACAGATCTCGAAACAATCGAAACGAGGTTGAAAGAAGGATGGTATTCAGGTTCAACCAGCAAATTTTTCCGCGATCTTCTCTTGTTGGTTAATAACGCCCTCGTTTTTTTCTCCAAAAATTCGGCAGAAGCAAATGCTGCAACTGAGATTCGATGGCTCGTCTCAAAGCAGATTTCCCGGAAACTCACCAAGTCAGATTCTTCATCTGGGAAACAAATTTCGCTCCAATCCCTATCAATTGCCAAGAAAGAAGACAAAACTCCAGAGCCATCACAGTCTTTGACGTTAAAGCCTAGATTATCCGGCTCGTTAATAGTTTGTCGTAAACGAAGCTCAATTGCAGCGAAGGGGTCCGCTTCTTCTTCAGGAGCTGATAAAAAGAAAGAGCAAACTCCATTGGTTACCGAGGAGAAGGATAAGGCAAAGGTGGTGCAGCGTTCTTCCCAAGTCTCTGGCGATGCAGAGGAGCCTAAAATCACTAAAAAGAGAACAAGGGATAATAGATTTTCTTCGGTTTCCGCTAACAACTCGAAGAAGAATAACGGCAAGAATTCTTCGGCCAATAAAAATGAATCAGGGAAACAACCGGCAAAGGGAGGAGGCTCGTCTTCTTCTCAGCAAGCAGAGCCGCCCAAAAGCGAGACTAAGAAGAACCAATCGAATTTAGACTCGAAAAAACGAGGGGCGGCGAATTTCTTGAATAGAATGAAGCAAGGTTCATCATCGAACAACGGGGTTTTGCTCGATGCATTGAAGAACACACCTCTGACTAGCGAAAGTAAAGGAGGGTCTCAAGTGAAGAAAAACGAGAATGCTAAACGAGGGGAAAAGAAAGAACAGGCTACTACTACTAGGAGAAATTCAGAGACGAGACAAACGAAAGAGAAGGAAAAAGAAAAAGAAAAAGAAAAAGAAAAAGAGAAAGAGAGAGAGAAAGAGAAAGAAAGAGAGAAAGAGAAGGAGAAGGAAAAGGAGAAGGAGAAGGAGAAGGAGAAGGAGAAGGAGAAGGAGAAGGAGAAAGAGAAGGGTAGTCCTGGAAAGAGAAATGTTGGGAGGCCGCCGAAGAGAGGAGCTGCACCGCCGCCACCTCCTCCGGCGGCGCTTGGTAAAAGGGGTAGAGAAAAGGCTGAAACGGAAGCTGCGACTTCGAAGCAGCCTAAAAAAAGATCGAGGAAGTTATAGCTATGGTGAAAAGGGGGGAAAAAAACAAAAAGGGATAGACAAATTTGTATGTAGTGTATGGCAATCTTTTTTTAAAATAGATATAGATTTACTTATTATTTTGGGTTTCACTTATGTTTTGGTAGTCTTTTGATTGACCCGAAAACCAGTGATAGCGGGTCCTTACAAAAGAAAGCTGCTTGTTTGTGCAACTCTCTATGTAAGCTGTGTTTTGTAAGCTAAGGTGGTTTTATTAACGACTTCTAATTTTTCTGAAATTAACAAAACGTCTATGAATTTATTTATTTCTTTATTACGACATATATACTTTAGGATATATATTTGTTTAAATATTATATGATAAATTATTTAAAACTAAACAATAAACAGAAGGATAAATTACAACTACCCCTAGGCCCTAGGTATGGTCAATTTAAGAAAAAATCCCTCTTGTTTGGATAATTACATCTACCCCTCAATTATAATTTTTTTCTTACACTTCCACCCTTATGGTGTCAAATTCAACATAATCATCTAGATTTCATGGAATGTGCTATAGTTTGTACCCGTTTTGTGTAAAAATACAGTTTTTGATGCACCACAATCTGATATATACAAACCAAAACACACATATTATGATCACCTTGCTTCAATATGTGAAGTTTGAATGGAACAAAATGGGTACAAAAGTAATAAATATTCCATATAATCTCGAAAATTTCACTAAATTTGAAACCGCAAGGGTCGACGTGTAAGAAGATTTATAGTTGAGGTGTGGTTGTAATTACCCAAACAGAAGGGGGTTTTGTGTAATTTAACCATACCTAAGGGTGTTGGTTGTAATTTACCCTAAATAGAATTACCATTTGAAAAAGCACTTACAAAAGTACTTATTTTCCAAAATCGGGAAAAAAAAGATGAGCAGCAGCAGAAGCAGCACAAGAGAGAGTTGCAAAATCGAGTCGAAAGGGGGCATCAGCCTCGATGCCCGGATCTACAGGCCCACCGCCGGAGACTCAAACGCCACTTTGATCGCCGTTTTGGTTCACCCTTACTCCGTTCTGGGCGGATGCCAGGGTCTGATGAACGGAATTGCTCGAGGACTCGCCGACAGGGGCCTCACAGCTGTCACCTTCGATATGCGCGGCGTCGGCAAGTCCACTGGTCGGGCTTCAATCACGGGTTTCTCCGAAGTTGACGACGTCGTTTCCGTCTGTAAATGGGCGTCCCAAAACCTCTCCGCCCCTCGCGTTCTCCTCGTCGGATCTTCAGCAGGTATCTGTTTCAACCAACGACAACTCCGCTTCTCTTTGATTTTTTTTTTTTTTTTTTTTTTTTTTAAATCGAAATTCAGATTGCGTTTGAAGTTGGGTTTTTGTTACGAAGTTTTTTTGGTGGATACGATTTTGATTTATGGCTGAATCTGAACTAGATTTGATCTAACACTAGATACGAAGTGGTCGAGTTCAAATTCAAGTGTCCACATTTTCGATTCGAAGGAAATTAGGTTGTTTGAGCTGTTGAAGCACATTATTGAGCTGTAACTGAAATTACAATATACAGATTGTTGGAGCTATACGATTACTTGATCTTCTTAAATGTATGGAATCATGCCAGCTAAGCAGTTCTTGAGCTAATAATTGATTTGATTAGACCAGATTGTTCGACCTATGCGTTTATCCCAGCTTCTTGAATTTATGGTGTCAACAAAGTTTTTTGTGATCTATAACCGAAATCAATATGCATTTACTCCCCGCAGATTGTTTATACGGCCACACAGCATAAAGAATCAACGCACACACAAATCACAGTAGATTCGTATTGCATAGAACTTTCTACCTTTAACGATTAACTTTTTTTGGATTTGATTTTCTTGCTTGTGGTACATGTCCATGTTTAGTAAATGTATTACGTCGTTGTGTTGTTCCCAGGTGCCCCGATTGCTGGCTCTGCAGTTGACCAGATTGAAGAAGTTGTTGGCTATGTGAGTTTAGGTTATCCTTTTGGATTAACTGCCTCGATTCTCTTTGGAAGGCATCACAAGAATATATTACAGTCTCCAAAACCTAAACTCTTTGTGATGGGTACGAAGGATGGTTTCACAAGCGTCAAACAGCTTGAAAACAAGTTGAAGAATGCTGCTGGCCGCACTCAAACGCATTTGATTGATGGAGTCAGCCATTTTCAAATGGAGGGACCAACTTATGATGGGCAGATGGTGAATTTAATCCTTGAATTTATCTCGTCGTTGTGAAGTTTATTAAGGCTTCGTTTGGGGCTGTTTGAATTCGTTAGGATTATATTGTCCATGATAATGTGATGTATTATTATTATCTTATGTTAATTGGGGAGGTGTGGTGAGTTTGGATTTAAGCATCATTCGTTTGATTTAGGATATTTTCATGTTGTATTCTAAAATAACATAGTCACATCAGTGTATTCAAATTTGGAACAAAAAAATTCCGCAAATTTCGAGTACATTTACGTTTGAATTACACGGAAGGTTAAATATTTGTGCACACATGTGAGATATACAAGAGAAGTCTAATCCTTTACAACTGAGTTAAAGCACTACAGGAGTCTGCATAACTCACATATGTGAAATATACAAGAAAAGTCTAATCTTTTACAACTGAGTTAAAGCACTACTGGAGTCTGCATTTTATACGGACAAAAAGAAAGAGATGATAATAGCTCGGATACCCTAGAAATCTAAATCCCGATAGAATAACATCAATCACAGATATTTAGAAAAGAAGGTCTTGCTGGAAATCTGCAACTCTCTCAACCTCTTGCCAATTCGTAACTGTTGGACCTTCCCACATCTTCATGCTCATGGCTAACATTACGTTGTGGGCCCCCCAAATGTTCACGCGTTGATGGATGCTCCTCATCTGATGCAAGAATTATATACAAATAACATTTAGATAAAATCAACACACTAGATAATAGACCTCGAAGAAAGCAGTTCGATATTCTGATAAATTAGACAATGTTCAATGTATAATTGCTAAGATAAATATGTTGATAAAATTTCAGCTCATATATGTATAAAAGCAATGATAAGCACTGATGTGAGTACAGTACTACTATGAATATCTTAAGAGTTTACTCGTCCACATATCTAGCGGACAATCGTCTCAGCTAGATTCCAGTTGCATAGTGTGATGTGTAATAAAACAAATTTACCAACAAAGTTTCACTTCCACTTTTTCAATGAGAAGAAGTTTCAAGAAAAGGGATATTGTTGTAGTCTGACTAAAGAATCAGGGAACGGTACCAAAATTTGCTGAGGAATTTAAGTAGTCCATCTTTGGCGAAATGACCAACTCATTTGATGAAGAAAAAAAACAATGTACTCAAATTGATGATGTAATCAAATTAAGATGTCAGATTTGAAAATATCTTCATTACCACTATCACATGCATCCACAAGTCTCTGAATCACTTCAATCAATGTTTGCTCATGTTCCTGCATCACCAATTATAGCAGATCTTGAGTACTAAAGGTTGAGAGAGTAAGCTAAAAATTCTTGTATTAATATCAGTAATAACCTTAAGCATTTTCTTGGCATTCTCCAGCTCTGCTACATTGGGATGGGTTGCATCAAGCACCTTCTCCACCTACCGTAACAAATGGGAGGAAATAGGTAAGTAATCTGCAAAGCTTCTACGAGATTCATACAAGGTAATCACATTAATACCTTCTTAATCAATGTCTCGGTATGTAGTATTTCTATTTCCTCGGAATCATCTTTCATAACCCCATTTCGTGAAGGTCTCTCATTAGCAAATTGATTCATTGATGATGTTCTCCCTCTTCCAGAGTTAGGTGCACTTGTATCATCCATTCGAGATATTACAGGACCATCACCCACCCACCTGATATCCTCTGGGGGAACCTGCATCAAATAATCCTTAAGTCTGTCACCTCGAGAAACCCGAACCACAAAGCAGATGTAAAAAGAATAGTAAAATGATTTGAGATAAAAATTAGCTAGGTTATAATCATGGTAAGCAAACGTGAAGCCTTAAATATCAGGAAAGCAACAACGCCAACTAAATCTGGTGCCAACATCTTAACCTCAACCACTATTACATACGACCTCACGAGATTCATTTATTCACATAAGGACAAAAGATGATTATGTTGACCAGGTGCCGACATGTGTTCAAAATTGGTTTATTGGCAATTAATTTCATGCAAATTAGTCTCAGAGTCTATGATATGTATAAAAAGAATATAAAAGCACATGTTGGAGATCTCAATAGTTACCGGAAGATACGGTAATGCATTTAAGAAAATTGATGTAACCACGCTCATAATCACGTCCACATTAATGTGCACGGAATATTTGAGCTACCAGAAGTAGAAGATAGCTACCTCTTTGATGTTGACCCATTCCAAGGTCTCATTAGGCGTATTGCTATCATAAACCATAGAATGGCGGCCCTGAAATACGAGGAGAACTAGCAAAAATTAGAATTCATTTGCAGGATTATTTGATATATTTCATTATATCAAACTTCGTTGCCGCAGTACAGGTTAAAGGAAAGGCCAGTAAATCCACCAATATTATAAAGTAGCAACTTCTTACTATTTCCCTTCCATAGACACTTCAATGGTTATAAAGACATATAATAGTTTAAGCATGTAATGTCACATTGTAGAATGGTCATAAATATTGCTTATACGAAGAAAACAAATTCAACAGTCAGCAGATATGACCGCAGTAGACATGCCGTTTGTCATTGAATGTTAGCAATTTCTGTTCTTATGTTAAAAAAATGTTTTTTTACAATTGTAACACGGTCACATTACATATTTTCAGTAAAGGAAAGTTAGAATGATTCAAAAAGAGGCTTTCAGATATAGAATGTGGTTTCCTTATTGTCACAGAATAATGCCTGGCAAAACATATAATCATGCAGATGAATGCACTTGAATGATCAAAAACCACAATAAAAATTTTATGTGATTAAAAGGAATCAAAAATCATTTTGGAACATTCATATTTCAACGCTGGGCTGTGGCTCTTATACTAATCAGGCATAAAGACAGTCAACAAAAGGAAACAAAACTCCAACATCAAGGTACTTAGTGCTTCCTTATCGACTTACTCCTTTAGTGGACAGTCATATAAGAAACTTGACAAATGTTTCTTTGTTCACTTCTTTACTTTTCATATTTGTTATAGAAAGTAAATAAATTTGCGTGGATATATTTCCAGCCATGGAAATCCTAATCAACACTTCAATAGGGAGTATCCAAATGAAAAAAAAGGAAACAAACATACGTCTACAGGATTGTATTCAGTTATGACCGCCTCATAGAAGTTATTGTCCGCAGGCCATCTTATCATCACTCTCCTACCAATTAATGAGTTCTGCATGCTATCAGAAGGGTCACCCATTGGAGCCCCAGAAGAAACACGATCGGTAATCTGATAATGCACAGGTTTTGCTGGCTGACCCTGTGAAAAAAACAAAGATCGACAAATTAACAACAAAGTCTTTTCTTAAACTCATCTCTGAAATCCTTACTATAATGGTTTGAACATACAGCATTAGGCCTTCGCCCACCAATCCCTGAAGTAGGTGGCCATTTCGCAGATGGCAGAGTAGTACCAGCCACTGACTGAGGGTGTAAAGGCTGAGATTGTGTGCCGAATGGATTTCCAGATAGAGGTGCCTTCTGCCTTTTGCGAGATGCTGAAACTGTCGGACTTTGTAACTGATTGTTAACATTGGGGGCTATGTTTCTGTTCCCTCCTGCATCTCTCCACTCTCTGATTCTGCGGATGAGGTCATCAGCATTAACCTCAGTAAGTAATTCCCTGTGCTCATCATCTGATACCCTCAGTTCCTTTCGTAGTTCTGTAATTAGACCTTCTTTCTCCTATGTAACAAGCATATCATCAAAACATTAGAATATGAAATGACGGGGGACAATAAATAAATAAGTGAAAATGTACATACCCATGTAAGTGCATCAGATTGTGCTTTGAAAGCTCGTAGAATTGCACCGTATGCTATCTGCTCCAAGTTGTGGATTTCGGACTCCATGTTAATTTGCATTCTTTGATATGGTCTCCCGTTAACTGCCACACGACCTCCTACTCTAGTATATAGTGGTTGGGGATTATCATCATCAGTACCTGTACTTATTTCAACAAACAAAATTAAGTGTATGATGTATATGAAAGCGAGCGAAAACCAGATATTAGCATTTACTTCCAATAGCTAATGCAAAATTTTACCCACCACTGAAATTACTTCAGTGAACAAAGTGTTAACAAAAATCAATAGAGCTAATCTCTCCTTCCTAAGTCGAAATTTCACATAGTGAACCACTTCCATATTAATTGAAGTTCCACTCAAAATGGTGGAATAGCAAAAAGCCAAAAACTATTCAACAAATATCGGATACACCAACAGGTATTACAAGGGTTGCCTCACACATGCACCAATATGGAATTTATAAGTTGTTATATCGAATACTGGCAAAATTTCCACTCCAACAGCAGATAATCGTGGGAGAAGATAAACTAAACCTTTGGAGATGAAATGGAGAATGCATATCTAGTCTGAAACAACAATTCAAAAAAATCAAATTTAATCTCGAATTTTACAATTACAAATTCAGCTCACATTCAAGATACCATAAACCGTAAAACATTCAACCTCAATTTCAATTTCTGCACTAACCCTAGCAACATCAATGAAATCGATTGCTTATAAAACCCTAGAAAAAATAATAAAAAATAACAAATGAAATTCATCTGAGATCTGAAATTTTCGAAAAAAAATCCACAAAAACATCCATGAGGTAACATGATCGAAAGAACTAAAAATAAGCAAAGACAAACACGAGATTTTGTGCGCACAAAAATAACTGGAATAAGAAAAATTCACCAACCGCTGCTGTCTCCATATTCCATAGAACGACGACGTCAATCCAACTGTAGCGAATTCCAAAAATGCTTATGAGATTATCTTCAATTCCTCCTCCGTTATCCCAATTCCACGAAACGGTAGCTAAAAATCTCCAGGGAGAGTTTGTGAAGATGAAGATTTACAGAAATTCATTTGTAAAAACCTCCGACGAGAGGGAGTGAATAGAAATGAAAAGAAATTGCGTTGTGAGAATGGCAGGGATGATGTGGGCCCACGGATGGGTCCCCCTTCGTCTAAATTATATGGGCCTATTAATATTATAATTAATTATTTTGGGCCTGAACTTTGAGCCTGGTTGGTTAATAAACTCGAAACAATATTATTGGGCTGCATTTTATATCAAATTTTCCCTCCCATTCTCAAATTTTCGATTTTCGTTTTTTTGAATTATGGAAAGCGGAATTGAAATTAATTTTTTTCAATTTCTTCGAGGATGAACCATACAACGTAATCCTTTGTCTTCTTATTTCGTGCATTTTATCTCCTAGTTTTAGGATTTTCTTTGCATGGTAATTGTACGCGTACATTTGATTGTTCACTGTTTGAGCTGGATCATTGTTTGGTGAAATCTTCGATTGAATTTAATAAGTTGTAAAATAAAGTTTGTAAGCCCATAACCAATATGCTATGCCACTCCTTCAACAATCTGCGTAGTGGAATCGTGTTGCATTATAAAAAAAATACTTATTGAATAAATTCATTGAAAATTAAAGATTTCTTTACGTTTTGTGTAATTAATCGGAAAAAAAAAATGCGAAAAACGGCATGTTCACGTTGATTAAAATATTGGGGATGCATTTGGAACTAGTGTAGAGTATTTAATGTAATGCCATGTTACAGTAGTGATCGATATCGCTGGTTCCACTTTTGTACTTATGTCCAAATGATTAAAGAAATCTAACAGTCCAAATTAATTCTGGTTAATTAGACTTAAGAGGAAGGAGTTCCACTTTGTTGGGAAACCCCCACAATACATGCAGTTGTAATTGTTTTTAATTCCTAGCTAGCTAGCTAGTTAAATACTACATTGAATATTAAATGAATTTACGTAACAACTAAAGTTTATATATGAGAAAGTTGATTGTTTATTAATTATAGTTTTGCAGTAAGATGAAGTATGAGATTTGAAGATTAAAGCCGTACATATTGGGAATTAAGGGCAGTTAGTATGCATGCATTTGAAATAAAAGATGTGTTATAGAATGTATTTTAAATCATATATAGGATATACAAATAACTGAATTCCATGCATGTATGTTAACAGATTATAAATCTTGGAAATAAATAACAAATAATTAAATAGTCAATCTTGGGAATGAACAACCTTGACTTTAATTAGATGTTCGTGGCACGATCTCTTGCATCAAGCTTGTCACCAAATCAGTATATTTTTCGTTTTTCCTTCGGCTGTAATTAAATCTTGTTTTAAAGTCGTCATTTTAAATTAATATATAGTTAGTAGCAAGATTTCTTTGCAAAACAATATATATTAATAAATTTTCCCTTTCTGCCGTAAACTATATATGCAGAAGAACATTAGTCGCCTGATTAGTGTCATTTGTCAAAGCTAGCCATGTTGCCATAATTCAAAAAAAAGGTTGTGTGTGTGGATGCTAATTAGTAAATACGGATCGGAGTATTAAATAATATTATGAACCAACAAATCAGAATGTGAGCTAGGTGTATATATAAAATTAAGAGGATCGGAATTAGTTTAAAATTAGGCTAGATTTAGTGGTGGATTTGAACCCCACATGGCAACCACATCAACTTGTGTAAAATTTAATCTTTGATTAGCATTGCAAATTGTATATAATCCTTAATTACATCGTGGTGGGACTGGGATGAAGCTAAGCACGTGTGATAGGCAAATTAAATACAGTTAGAGTTTGCCCATAAATACAACTGAATGCTCCAACTCTTCCAATATTTCATATATATTATTTCCAACATTTATTTGTCTCCCTTGCTAGCTAGCTAGATCTCACACTCCCATTATTTTGTTTGACCATTGTCTGAATAATATAGTACACAGATCGATCGATCGATCGATCGATCATGAAGATAAAGCACAGAACCCTAGCAGCTAATTTACTCTTTGTTTTGCTTTTAGTTTCCCTTCTTTTTACATCTTCTTCTTCAACATTTTATCATGATCATCAGCTCCCAGAGAATACGTTTCAGACAAGAAAATTATTACTGCTGTCGGATTCTGAGCAGCGAAAGAATTCCCAGGTGGTGATGCATCATAGTGGCCGAACCAATAGCAAGAACCAGACCAAGAAAGCTGTGGAGCAAAGCCTCAGGAACAGACCCCCCAGCATTCCTAACCCTACTCAGAACTGATCATCATCATCTATATTTTTTTTTTTAAATAGAATTAATTAAGAAACCAAGTCTTTAATTTCTCTGTGTTCCATAAACTATATTCACGATTTTCTATTTCCTTTTTTGTTTAGAATATGTTTTCTTGTTCTAATTATGAATTATATAATGAGATGGTTAATGTAGTATTAGTTACATGTTATTTTTTTTAATAATAATTCTCATGCAGACTATATATAAAGGATTTGGAGTTTATTTTCGGACAATTGTACTGCAATATGCAAATATGTCATCGTATCAGAGCTATATATATGACCTGAGTGAAGTAAAGTGCGAGCTTTCTAAAGAGTTATTTTTAGTCACCGCTGTGCTTGATAATTAGTTACTTGTTTATGAGCCCATATTAATATAAACAAAGTTTTAAAAAGTACAAATAAAACGAGCTGGAACTCGAGCTCACTAAATTTGTCAAGTTCGACTCGTTTACGGCCGTAACTAGTGAGGATCAATTTTTTTTTGTGGGCTTCTAGTAATACATAAGCCCATAAGTAAAAAATAAAGAAAAAAAACCCTGCATATTTGGGCTTTTCTGTGAAGTAGTAATTAATAATATATATTTGGCCCACTTCAGGGTTGGCCCATTTACCGGCATCTGAGCTCATTGGGCTGTTCAGACTTGAATTGCAATAAGCTCACTGAAACGCTGTCGTTTTATCCACTGTCCACCTGTTCACTTCAGATTTTTCTCATGCCATAAGAATAATTGAAGAAATAGCAAAGGGTACTGGGACTTCGTCTCTGGGCGGGAGAAAAGAGAAAAAGTACGATTGGTTAAGGCCTAGGGTTTCAAAACTCCACCATCTTGGACACCGTACTCCCCCCTTCCGCTTCATTTTACTAACTGTACACATTTTCACTGCGATTTTCTTCAGTTTTTTTTTTCTGCAAAATCGAATGGGAATTAAGGTATTTATTTCGCCACTGATTCAATTTCAAATTCGTGTATTTTTCTTACTCTATCACATTTTAATCACACTGTTTGCTAATTGACAGGGTTTAACGAAGCTGCTGGCGGATAATGCACCAAAGTCGATGAAAGAGCAGAAATTCGAGAGCTATTTCGGCCGAAAAATTGCTATCGATGCCAGTATGAGCATATACCAATTTCTTGTAAGTATATTACCTCATATCAGTAATGTACTATGAGTATGTGTTCGCTGACAAAAATATTCCTATATAAATTTATTGATTGTGTTCAATATGTGAATTGACTGCATGTTTACTGAATTTGTTGTCTGGAAAAGTATAATATGTTTTGTTCTGCAGAGTTAACAATTTGCAGTAATGAAGAAAGTTATATGACGTAGTTGTCGGTAAACATGGAATCTTATGATTTGATAAATTTTTGGTGATTGATAATTGCAGATTGTTGTTGGAAGAACCGGCAATGAAATGCTCACCAATGAAGCTGGTGAAGTGACTAGGTATTCAACTGAACTTGCTAGCATTTTGTGTTTTTCATGGCAATTTCTAATTAATTTAGTAAAGTATTCGGATTATGGCTTATTGTCTTAAAATAGGATCTCAACCACACACACATATAATTTGTAGCGAACATGCATACCTTTACATTCAGCAACTGATACACACGTATATGTCTTCATAAGTAGTTGCTATAGTATATGATATCTATCATTTATATATCCAACTGATTGTTCTTGTACATGTATATACAATAGTTTTATCTCATTTGTGTTTTCAGCCATTTGCAAGGGATGTTTTCGAGAACAATCAGACTTTTGGAAGCTGGAATTAAGCCAGTGTAATTTATTTCATGACTTGAACTTTTAGTACTTAAATTGTGTATTTAAATTCTTAGAGATTTTTCTAAAATTGTTGACAAGTTTTGTTGCTTAGTTATGTATTCGATGGAAAGCCTCCTGATCTGAAGAGACAAGAACTTGCAAAACGGTATATGATACTCCAATACACATCCTTGGTCAACTTACTTGAATGATGGATTTTGGATTTTTATTTATGTTGAATTTTATTTGATGAATATAGATATTCGAAAAGGGCTGATGCCACTGAGGACTTAAACGATGCTTTAGAGGTTGGCCTTTTAATTTAGAGTCCTTCAAAGTAGTACTTTTACACTTTCATATCTAATAATTCATTTGTGTTAACTTGTGGGACCGTTTTTGTTTTTCATTTCCACCTATAAATATTACTCTCATAGAACAATGCTTTGTCTCATTGCAGGCTGGCAATAAGGAGGATATCGAAAAATTTAGTAAAAGAACAGTGAAGGTAAGATTGTCGAATGATTTAGCTTAGAAGATAACATTTTACCCAAAATTGATTTCAAGAATATAGTTCGACATTCACTTTGAAATATGATTTTAATACAACTCTAAGAAGCTTTACAGATATGTTGACATGATTTTAGTACATTTAGTTTATTTGGTATTTCTTCACTTTTAGTTTCGGGACATTTACTTTTTAATTGCACAGGTCACCAAACAACACAACGATGATTGCAAAAAGCTTCTTAGACTTATGGGAGTACCTGTGGTTGAGGTGATGACATGAAAAAGTTATTTTAGCACTCTTGCCTCCTGTGTCTCCTTGAGTCGAGTCATTTTGGCCTTTTCTGATTATATATATTTGGTTACTTTGCTTAGGCTCCTTCTGAAGCGGAAGCACAATGTGCTGCACTTTGCAAAGAAAATAAGGTATATATATTTATTTTCATGATTCTGTAATGATCTGATGAGTCCCTGCCATACTATAACAACCTTTGGAATATATATTATTTCATGCTTATTTTTAAATAAAATTTCATTGGAAAGACTTTTGAATATTACGCATCCATTTTCTCAAAAAGTATCTCCACAATTTCTTTAATATGCCAAAATTGTTAATAGAGATTACGACTTTAGACTCTTCTAACAATGTGATCAAAATTTATTAATTGGTGTATGCATTAGATGTTCTCACAAAATACAGGCATTAGAAATATTGTTGAAGTTCATTAATGATCAGGTTTATGCTGTGGCCTCTGAAGACATGGATTCTCTCACTTTTGGAGCGTCAAGGTTTCTCCGCCATCTAATGGATCCTAGTTCGAAAAAAATCCCAGTGATGGAATTCGAAGTCGCAAAGGTAATAATAAGTTGTTGGTGAGTTCTAAATGTGTTGTTTCTGATTCAGTGAGGTGTTACAGGTCTTGGAGGAATTGGACCTTACAATGGACCAATTTATAGACCTTTGCATTCTCTCCGGTTGTGATTATTGCGACAGCATTAGAGGTAAAACTTCTGTGTTTGAATCTCAAGTTGTATAAAACATTTTTTGCTCATCTTTTGCACATTTTTTTTCTTTTATTATTTTTTGTGAAATAATTTCCTTTAAACTAAGAAGTTTATGTTGTTGGCTAAATTAGGGGAAATGATTTAATGGTATGCCTATTAAACTATAAAACGCTTGCAATGTTGTGCTGTGAAGTTAGTAAGCTGCCAGTTAAATATAGTCAATTAAGAAAATGAATGAGCTAAATTTAGATATAAGATTCACAACGGTTTTGATGAATGTATAAGTGGATATTCTGATAATATTACAACTACATGTATATTTGGTATTATGCTCTTATACGTGTATAGGCATACGTACACATGACAATTATCTGTTGCATTTGTCTCTAACCTTCCCAACTAAGCTGGTACATAATATTATCTTCTTTGCCGCACTTGTTATCGTAAATTCATGTACACTCTATTTCGTGTTTCTCAGGTATCGGGGGACTGACTGCTTTGAAGCTGATTCGCCAACATGGCTCTATCGAGAAAATTTTGGAGAATCTTAATAAAGAAAGGTGCTTGTTTCGCTTTTTTAACAACTGATCATGTTATCTAATTCAATTAATTTAAATAGGATGATTGTGAAATTGTGAAGGTCGTGCTCCAAGGATTTTTGTGTTTTACTTTTGACCTTTTACACGATGAGAATATTCTAAAGCTAATCACTCCAAATGATTATCCATTACTAGTTCACTAAGCAATGGACTTGGAGTCGAGGATTCTTTCAAATGTGTTATTAATCTAATTTTGTTTCTCTTTGATTTCGTTATGAGTCTTTACCTTGGATTTTGATATCAAGAATTTATGCTCTCTTAAACTGATCCCATTGATATCTCAATTAACAGTGTGAGTTGGTCCTAAAATTAGGATGGTGCTAGCTTTCATTAAGGAAGTAGTTGCCATGGAACTTGCCAGTTAATCTATCTAGTTTATATTTGGTGTCTGTAAGCTAATGTCGTGTTGAAGTTCTTGATATGATACATTATGTTTGTTTAAATTATTTGCAGTATAGGCCTCTATGTCTGATAATTTGAAGGTGTGTTTATGTTTTTATGATTATTTACATTCGTTAATGCCTTTATCAGATACCAAATACCAGATGATTGGCCGTATCAAGAGGCTCGAAAGCTCTTTAAAGAACCATCGGTTTTGACTAATGATGATCAAATTGAGCTCAAGTGGTCTCCTCCAGATGAAGAAGTAATTGAGCTTGTGAAAATCTTTATATTTATTGGTGTTCGCTTGTATGCAATTTGAATGACATGACTGTATATGTTTTTCTCCTTCAGGGACTGATTACCTTTTTGGTAAATGAAAACGGGTTCAATAGTGACAGAATAACTAAGGTAAGCCTCCATTTTCTTATGTTATAGCCTCCTTTCTGCTCTTCTGTAGTAAAAGGGAAAACTCATCAGTTTACTGTCTAATCCTTAGGCAATAGAAAAGATTAAGGCAGCCAAGAACAAATCGTCTCAAGGAAGGTATGAATCAATCAAATCCATGGTATATTTTTTTTTTATCTTGATAAAATATCAGTTTTTTACTCTATTTCTCTAAACAGGTTGGAATCGTTCTTTAAACCAGCTCCTAATGCATCAGTACCGGTTAAACGGAAGGTTGGTTGTTTTTCTTTGACATTATAATGTATATATCATACCTACTAGTTGATTGCTTAATTATGAGCTCATAGTAAATTTCGGGGTATGATTTTTTAAGGTTGTTTGTTATTTTTTTTATTTTAAATCTGTATTCTTATCTGCTTGCTTCATGTGAATTTAAATCCAACTTCCATTGATGTTATAGTTTTTTGTTCAAGGTTTCTTAACAATGCCCATGATTTAAATTTATCGTGTCTGCAAGTGAAGTAGTGAACCAGCTGTAACTATTGTTACATCTTGGGCCACTCCATATAATTCTAAATTATTTCTCTCTCTCTAATTTGTGCCGTGAAATTTGATGCTAGGAGACAACTCAAAAAGCCATGAAGGAACCGGCTAGCAAAAAGGCCAAGGGTGGTGCCGGTAAGAAGAAGAAGTAGTTGCTGTCTTCAACTGGCAGTGTGAGTTCTTGTAAAGCTTGACTTGATTTGTCTAATCGTGTAGTAAGTCGACTTTTTACAATTTGTTTCCTATGATCCAATTGAAGGGGAGTGGCGATTTAGGAATCAGTCCTTTTTAGCCTATTTTAATTATGTGTTTGTGGAACTGAGGGTGAAGAAGCTTAATCCATTTTGTCTATGTAGCTGTTTCATTTTTAGTAACCATTTTAGTTTGGTAAATATGCCATTGCTTACTCACGAAATAACAAAAACTAGTTAGTACTTGTACCAAATTTTGTACCCGCCACTTTGGCAACTTTCACCAACCAAATTTATTTGCGGATACATTTTATAAAAACCCACTCACACATTTGTAGAATTTACAAATTGCAATACAGTTTCATTCTCAATCAAAGATCCAAATTAAGATAAAATGGCAATTATTTCTCCCGACCCTTCCATGCAAGATCTGAAGATCACATTCCAAGAGTCAACACTTGTGTTTCCCTCACAACAAACTCAGAAAAAATCCTTATTCTTGTCTAACATAGACCAATTCCTCAATTTCAATGTCCAAACAGCCCACTTCTTCAAGGCCAATCCACATTTCCCACCTGAAATCGCTGCCAAACGGCTCAAAATGGCTCTAGAAAAGGTCCTCGTGCCATACGATTTTATGGCTGGAAGACTCAACTGGAACCACCACTTGGACCGCTTCAAGATCGACTGCAATGCAGCCGGAGCTGGCTTTGTGGTGGCTTCTTCCGAATTCTCGCTGGATGAGTTAGGGGATTTGTTTCGCCCCAACCTAGGATTCCGTCAGCTTGCTGTTGAAAAACTGCGTAATTTGGACGACGATAAGCAACCGCTTTGTGTTTTTCAGGTCAGTGAGTGGCAAAACCAGCAAATGGTCATTAGCCGCATCCTCCACTATTTTATATAAATATTTGTCATTTTACCAATACTTTAGTATTATAAAAAATCCGTTTTTTTTTTTAATCTGCAAGGTAACGGCGTTTAAGTGTGGTGGTTTTGCAATCGGAGTGTCGTTAAATCACATGTTATTCGACGGCTTGGCTGCAATCATGTTCCAGCAGAATCTAGCATCGCTAGCATTTGATGACGTGGATAACAAACCCCTGGCGTTAATCCCCTGCCACGACCGCCGCCTCCTCGCCGCCAGATCGCCGCCGCTCGTCACGTTCCAACACCCCGAATTTCTGAAGCTCGACCGCCGCCCCTTCCTCAGCCCTCCTCCGGTGAGCGACGACTCCGAAGAACAATTGGACTTCAGACTCCTCAAATTGAGCTCAAGAGACCTCAACTTTCTGAAAATGAAGGCAAACGAAGCAGCAGCGGAAGATGGTAAATCAACTACCACCGCCATAAAAGCCACGACCTTCAACGTGGCGGCGGCGCTCGTGTGGCGGTGCAGAGCTCTGTCGGCGCACGATTTCGATCACAACAAAGATAGGGTTTCCACCATCCTCTACGTCGTGGATCTGAGATCGAGGCTGAATCCGCCGCTGCCGGCGGGATACAGCGGCAACGCACTGCTGGTGGCGTACGCGTCGGCGAAGTGCGAAGACATCGAGAAATGGCCGTTTCGGAAGATGGTGGAAATGATTTCGCAAGGGGTGACGAGAATCAGCGACGAATACGTGAAATCTGTCACAGATTTTCTGGAAATCAACAAAGGGATGATCCCTCGTGGAGATTGCATAGTGAGTTCGTGGCTGAGATTGGGGTACGATCAGGTGGAATTCCCATGGGGTAAGCCCGTTTGCTGTACCCCTGTGGTCAACAAATTAGAGCGTATTTTTTGGATTTTCCCTGACGTTGACTCTGACGGAGTTAACGTTTTAGTCCAACGGCCTGCCGCAGAGATGGAGACATTCCAATTCCATTTTCATAACTTCTTTGCACATAATAATATATAATTTTGATGATTAAATTTAAAACTTGTATTAATTAATCAAAAAAAAAAAGTAAGTTACAGAAAACCCCATATGACACAAGAATTCAAATCAAAAGAGAAAAGTGATAAAAGTTATAATTAATTAATATAATTAAGATGAATTATACATATTAAAAATCAAACACTTCTAGCCATCATTTCTTGAAATCTTCTATAAGACTCCTGTTTTTCCAACCTGAATTTCTCATGGCAATTAGCAATAAACATATCTGCAAGCTTATCAATCTCATTACAGCCAGAACATGATTCCTCCTTCCCCTTCTCCTCGAGCCATTTCAAGTACTTTGACAGCTCGTCACTATCACACGACGACGACGACTCTTCCGTTTTATCGTACGGAGTGGGATTAATGACGGTATTCCAACTTGAATCATAGTAAACGTGGGAATCGGAGTAGCATTCTTGGCCAAGAGGCATGACATGAGACGAGCACCAGTTGTAGTGCAGCCTAAACGAACCGAAAAACAGCTTCTTCTGCTTCTTGTTGTTGTTGCCTTTATACTTGAACGGAAACTGATCGACTAGGCTTACGAAATGTATGCCTCCAAGAAGTTCGATTAGAACTGATTTGGCTTTGGCGAAGGCACGAGTGATGCGGTACATGTGTGAGAATACGAAGGTTTGGAAGAGGCTTTTGAGTTTCATTGAGCTTAGAGACGAAGAAGAAGAGGAGGGTTCTTTCATGGTGAAAATATGAAGGAGATTCGGAGTTTTGAGAGAGGAGGGGACAGCCATTTTTGCAGCTTGCTACTCAATGTGTGTGTGTGTTTTGTGTGTGTTTTAAATGGTGTAAAAATGTGTTTTTGGGTGGAATTGGTTTTATAGGAGGAGGGTTTTAATTTTATTTCCATATTGTGAATAGTTAGTAGGTGATTTGAATAAAGTGACAACAACTTTGCAGATTGTGAAGTGAAGACTTTTTCTTTTTCTGTTTGTGTGTTGGTTTTTTTTATTACATGAACAATGCAATCCTTGTGACTTGTATGAGTGTGTGTGTGTGTGTGTGTGTGTGTGTGTGTGTGTGTTGAATACATCATATTATAAAATTTTGATTAATCATATGATACAAATTGATTTGAAATTAAATAACACATACATTAGTATTAATTGATGTATATTAAGTTGATGAGTGTAGATAAACTTAAACATAAGAAAAAAGCAAAAGGCCAAAAGAAATGATAAAACAGTAAATGACACTTTAGTTCAGTTCAGTAGTACTAAAAGTTAGCATTCAATCTCAAATACAAGATTTTGGAATACACAATACTATCTATCACCTTTTCTTTTCTTTTCTTTTCTTTATTATATTCCCTCGAATATATTGTCCCCATCACGAATAGTTTCATACATATTTCAAACTTTCTGGCCATTTCAAAAAATTTCGAAATCTACTTTTCTTATTACAATCCGAAAACGAGGAAAATTTCGTTTAATAACTTATGTGCATGCATGATTAATTATCACGAAAACTAGCTAGTTAAATGAATGTAGTTGAGATGACGAAAGCGGCACACGGTACAATTATTTATCGAAATCTTTCTTACACGAACACGAAAAGTACAGCTAGATAATGCATGCATACTATGATGTATAAATCTTTTAAAGATGTAAGCAAATACATCATAGTTTAGGTACTTTAATGAAATTTGTATCAAAGCACAATGATTGGTGATAATATGAAGTCATTTATATATTAGGGTTTCTTATATGAAGTCTCTCTCAATGTTAACATTAAAACCTAACAAATTGTGTAATATAATTTGCTGCATTGCGAAAGAAGGGAGATTCAGAGAATCTTGACAGCTTCGCAATGCAAAAAAACTCAATATTTTGCTTTGTCACTATATATGTTCATTTCAATGTAATTACTCATTTCAAAATGGAAACATTTCGCATCGGAATCGGCGGGATTCGAAATTGAATTTGTTGATTTATACACCCATATATATAAATCTACTTATTAAGTTGAACTGGATTAATTGTTACCACAATTATTATCTTGCAACTATCGATCGTGTATACTTATTAATTCTAAATATAAAGCAGAATAAAAGACACATTTAACGTGGTTCGCACACAAACGTGACACACGTCTACAAGGACCTGAAAATTAACACTATTTTCACTAGTTCAGTATTATGTATATACAATATATGAACTTATTAAACATAATAAAAACTTCCTCTTTATGTAATACGCTGTTCTTGCACGCTACTCGAGCCTCTTGTCTTCTCCACTGCAGCTCCCTCAATCTGTACTTCTTGGACTCCCTATAAGGTTGAACTCCTTTCAGATTGCGGACGACCTCTCCCGAAATCTTTTAGCCACTTCTCCCGAAACATATGTTGAAGCCTTCCTTGTTATGATCTCTATATAGTTTTCGTGGGTAAATTTCAACCCCCCCGAGGTATGGTCAAATTACGAAAAAACCTCTCTTGTTTGGATAATTACATGGAATATGTGCTCTCTATCTTGTACTCGTTTTGTGTAAAAATACAATTTATGATGCACCACAATCTCATATATACAAAGCCAAAAACCACATCTTATGATCATCTTGCTTCAAAATGTGGAGCTCGAATGGGATAAAACGGGTACAAAAGTGATAACATTCCATATAATCAAGAAGATTCCACTAAATTTGAAACCACAAGGGTAGATGTATAAGAAAATTTATAGTTGAGGGGTTTTTTTTAATTACCCAAACATGAGGGGGGTTTTGTAATTTTATTATACCTCAGGGGGTGGTTGTAATTTACCCTAGTTTTTGTACAAACTCCAAAGGCCCAATGAAGCCCATATAAAGGAAACCGCATGGGCTATGAGAAAAAGAAGTGCTTATAAATTTTATGGGCCATAGAAATATTTTGGGCCTTGTTTTGTTGATCCAGCATATGCAAAGTTAAATCCAGTAGCACAAATAAGCATTTATTTATTTATTAATCACATATATTACGTCATCTGAAATATAATATATTTAATGAAGATTAATTTAATAAAAAAATGCCAACTAATTTTCTGCTAATATTTAATTTTAACATGGATCACAATCAACGTGGCTACCATGATTTAGATTGGGGGTCTATTATTATTATTATTTTTCATACAATTAATTAATTATTCCTTTTTGTCGAAAATGCAGATGGATACCATAAATTGCGAAATAAAATTTGGTAAAGTATCTAAAGCAAATTAATATTTATAAAAGTAGTTCGGAATTTCAAATAAAGCATCTAATTCTGTCACACGGTTGCAATAATGTTAAGAGAACAAACTGTAAAGAAAAATGATACTTTTGAATATAATGGGGTTGGGAAAAAGATTGATCAAATGCATGATTATACCAATATTATTCTTTTCTAACATTCATTACTTTTAAAATAATAATTAATTAATTAAGTTCATGAAACCTCGTAAGAGCAACTATATACAGTTGTATTAAGAATCTGGCATTCTCAATTATCTGTTTACCAAGATTAAAGTCCATCTGTGATTTATATAATTGTTTATTAGGGTTGTATAAAATATTTGTCCTTTGAGAAATTTAAAGGCCAATTTTAAATTGCCTTGTTTTTAATAATTAAATGGCTCACGATGTGTGCGTTGAAGTTGCCAAGTGTCAAACACATTCTAGGCAATTTAGGACACATCATCGTGCCGAATCACACATACACATAGACGTATAATATAAATATGTAAAATATGTATAGATCTATACATGTATACTAATATATAAATTATGAAATTTATAATCATTCTTCTACGCAAACCAATTTCTTGTTAGAGTTAAAATTTTCAAACTCCATGTATCGGTACTCGATTTTAAAATCTTGTACTAACTTATCAATATCCTAGAAACCAGTTGAGTTATATACGTACGGACAATTTAATTCTTATATATAAGCTATGAAGTTTACATGTGTATGTGACACAATGATGTCAACAGAGAGTAGTTTCTCTCCTCATAATTGACTTCCACTATATATGAAAAAGACCACACTCGATCGAATCGTGGCGTTTTTATTTTTTTAGAATAAAATTAATATTTTATAAACGTATAATCTTATTTACAAATTATACAATATATCCTTCTGAGTTTGCTTTTGTATACCTTTCCTTTAAGATATTGAAAATTATTTTTTTGTTTTTTTTTCTTTCACTCACGTTTTAGAATCTTGAAATGTTTTCGAATTTTGATTGGCCTATAGATAAACATGTATTGGAACTTTCATTGCAAGTTCATTTGGATTCCCACTTTTTCAACTTCCAAAAATCAGGTCCCCTATTAGTTTTGAATATATGCCAAATTTATTTAAAAACAATTATTCATTAATATATTATTTATTTATTTATTGTATCTAAAAGAGAAATTGAAAAAGAAAAAAAAAAAATCTAAAAGAGAAATTGAGGAGTCATTAATCAGAAAGTCACATTTGTTATGGAAAAGACACTTTGTGATTGCACCTATTGTTTACTTGGCATAATCTATAGAAGAATATAATAGAAACCCCCATTGTGTTATGGGTTGATTACATGGAATATATATAGAGAAATATTGCTAGGTAATAGAGTTTGACTAGGTAACTAAATCCTAACTAATCTAGGTAACCGAATCATACTAGAATCCTAATATCCTATAATATCTAATAATATAATATACTCTAATACGCCCCCGCAGTCGAAACGTGACGAACGTGAAGACTGGACAATCACTTGCTAGCACGCTCCCGCAGTCGGAACGAAGAAACTCCAAAAGTGAAGACTGGACAGAAGTCGCGAAACACAACGCTAGAGAATTCCTCTGTTGAAATATCTGCCCAATTTAAAAAAAATAATAATAATAACGGGGATAATATATATATATATATTTTTTTTTTTATGTATGAATCGAGAGAGAGAGAGAGGGAGAAGATATGAGAGGGGTCGCCGGCCATGGAGAAGAAGAGAGGCAGCGGCTAGGTTTTAGGCCATGGAGAAGAGGAAGAAGAAAAAGATAGAGAAGATACACCAACCACCGAGAGAGGGAGAAAATTCGGTTTGGTGGTCGCCGGCCATGTAGAAGAAGAGAAGCGGCGGCTAGGTTTTAGGCCATGGAGAAGAAGAAGAAAAAAGATAGAGAAGATACACCAACCACCGAGAGAGGGAGAAAATTCGGTTTGGTGGTCGCCGGCCATGTAGAAGAAGAGAAGCGGCGGCTAGGTTTTAGGCCATGGAGAAGAAGAAGAAAAAAAAGATAGAGAAGATGCACCACCGGGGGAGGGAGAAAATTGGGTGGTGTTCATAAAAAAAGATAGAAAAAGAAAAAAATAAAGAAAAATACTAGAGTACCACCACCGGGGGAGGGAGAATATTGGGTGGTCACCGCCATGGAGAAGAAAGGCAGCTAGGTTTTCACCGCCATTAGAGAAGGAAGGCGGCTAGGTTAAAGAACCTAAACCTGGTGCTCTGATACCATATAGGAAGAATAAAATAGGAGAAAGAGAGAAATAATAATATTACGTAATAGAAACCCCCATTGTGTTATGGGTTGATTACATGGAATATATATAGAGAAATATTGCTAGGTAATAGAGTTTGACTAGGTAACTAAATCCTAACTAATCTAGGTAACCGAATCATACTAGAATCCTAATATCCTATAATATCTAATAATATAATATACTCTAATATAATCTACTATATATATACCAAGTAAAAGAAGAATATTTAAAGTCTGGCATTGAATAGTTGACATATTCAAAAATAAAAAAAATTGCAGCATATTAAAAGAAGAATTTCATGAGAGATACTTGATCATATCTTGTGTTCATCAATCCACAATCCATTAAGACTTATGATGAAGAGAACACATCAAAATTATGGATTTTCAACTGATTATAATTTCACCTCTGATTTTCATTACAATTCTCAGCTGCAATCTTCACCGATGGGACTCGTTAATCAATCTTCACCACCGGCCTTTTACGCTACCGAAGAAGTCTACACGGGCTTATCTCGCTACAACAACACCGTTTGTTCCGATGTACAAATACCGAACACAAACCATTACATCATGTCAGACAACAGCCTTTCCGAAAGCGAACAGCTCTTATACTTGAAAAACAAGCTACTAGGCGATCTTGACGATGAAAATCACAATCTTGGTGTAAGTCCTTTTCAATAATTTGGTTTCATTTTCGCTTGTTTTTTTTTTTTTTTGATTTTTATATTATTTCGACTTGATTGATTTTCTTATGTGTGGCATTTATCCGAACAGGCGTCGCAAGATTTATATGCATCTCATTTTGACAATATAAATCAGTTGGGAAGACAACCTGGATGCTTTTCAGCTGTATCATCAAGTAATAACTGTGGATCAGTTTCTTCGTGTAAGACCAGAATTAGGTGGACTCAGGATCTTCATGATCGATTCGTCGAGTCTGTGAATCGACTCGGTGGTCCTGAAAGTAAGTGATATATATATCTGATATTATAATTTCTTCAAAAAATTCAGGAAAAATTAAACTGATTATTATTATTTCATCTAATCATAAATTAGAGGCAACACCAAAGGCAATACTAAAGCTCATGTGTACTGAAGGGCTTACCATTTTACAGGTCAAAAGCCATTTACAGGTACAAGATAAATCCACTTCTTTACCAATCCCCTGTTTTTTCGACTTTTAAATCATTGAATTTTATTTTTATTTATGTAGAAATATCGACAAGTAAAGTTCGTACCAGAATCAGTAGAAGGTATACTGTTTTTTTTTTTTCGATTTCTTGAGCACAAGTGTTAACTATATTTGTTGCAACGGATTGATTTTCCGCCTTTTTTTTTTTGTTTTTCTTTTCTGATCATGCAGGAAGATCCGAGAAGAAGAATAGTACGAATAATGTAGCACAAATCGACATGGAAACGTAAACTAGCTACTCCAACTGCATTTACCAAATCATATTTCAATTGGATTTAGATATTTCAGATTTCGTTGAATTTGAATTTAAAATTTGTTGTTGCAGTGGTATGCAAATCAAGGAGGCACTGCTACTGCAACTAGATGTTCAAAGACGTCTTCACGAACAACTAGAGGTAGCAATAATATTAATAATAATATGTTGGACTAGAAAATCCATTTACTACCGACTACTCGACATAAGAGCGTTCGTAATTTTCGTCATTTTTTTGTTTGTGCACTAGATTCAAAAGAAGTTACAGCTTAGGATTGAACAAGAAGCCAAGCGGCTGAAAGTGATGATTGATCAGCAACAAAAAACGACTAGCGATTTCACACATGAACGAGAAGAAGACGACGAAGAAGAAGAAGATTCGGAGGTTTTCGTGTTAGAAGGCTCCGATGAACACGTAATTTGACAGCTCCAATCACAAACACACAAGTTCTTGCCACTGACTTGATTAATATGTTACCATGTTTTGAAGTAGTCAATGTCAATCTACAGTATATAAATTGAAGGCTGCAATAATTGTATGACAGGAATTACTGGTCATAATTTTTCATTACTTGTTTATGAACAAAATTGACCAATTAACAATGCATTAGCTGATTTTGTTGTACAAACATCATAACTATATTAAAAAATATTTGCATGAAACACCAATTAATTTTTTGGGGACAAAATACCAAAATGCTATATTACAAGGGTGCAAAGTGGAGTTAAACCAAAATAATAATAATCGGCCCATTTCCATTTCTCACAAACTCATTCATATAGGCTGTATAGCCCAGCTTTTGTTGCGCCAAGCTTTTGTTATATGAACATTTATTTAGGCCCAAATTCGGCCATAGAGTAGCGCTTTTAGCCGAAGCAAAACGCGACTTTAGCACGTAAGAGTACAAAATCTCCAAATTTCCAATCAATTCGAAAGTACAGATAACTTTCTGATACAGAAGGGTTCCAGTTTCAGAACTCTCAGAGCCATCGTCCCCACAAACAAAACACACACAACACACACTTGCAACCACCGCCGGTTTTGCATTTCAACAAATTTTGAAATTCCGAAAGAGGCGGGAGCCAATCGGAGAGGAGCGGGCTTGTACGGAAGAAGGCGGCAAGTATTTATATATAACAGATGGAGGAGACGAAGAAGCGGAAGCTAGACGAAATCGGAAACGGCCGTTCCTTACCCAACTTGAATGATACGGCGCCGTCTTCAACCCTTGAAGAATTGCGTACGCTGCTTGACCCCCTCGCTAAGCCGCTGCTCGTCAATCTCCTTGCTAGAGCGTAATTCTCTTCCCCTTTTTAGTTACATACTCTCTTTTTCAGGCGTATTTAATTATTTTTCTTTTCTGCGAGGGCATTTATCGGAGAATTTAGTGTTTGAGAAGCTGATTTAATTAATTTGTATTCCTGCATATTTGTGTAATCGATTCCATTACTGACCTGTGTATTGAGGTCATCATAATATGGTTTTCCTGTAATACAATGTATTTTATCAGTTTTCGAGGAGTTTATAGTCGATGAAATCCGGTTGATTTCATGTATGGATGGGCCCATGTCTCATTTGGTTTGTTATTCATAAATAGACGTAGAAGCTTTATATCGGATCTTGTTAATCTTTCTCCCGTTCGTATTTTTGCGTATAAATGACGTGCTTGTGTGTGGTCTGTGATTTGAACGTGTGTCATGCATCTCTGTGTTTTATACATGGAGGCGACATCTTGTACCATCGTCGTTGTGTGGCGTGTGGATTGACATTGTGTGTGTGTGTGTGTGCTTGTTGCGTTGTTTGCATGTTCTGGCTTGAAGAGGTTCCCAATATGCTTCTATTGCCGAAGAAATTAAAAGTGTTGCAAGTGCTGATCCTGCCCTTCGAAAGCTTTTTGTTCGTGGTTTAGCATGGGATACTACTTCAGAAACTTTGTGTGATGTGAGTGAATTGCTGTTGCCTGTGGACGTATAATTTTGTATAATTTTGTATCTCTGTTCATGGCATGTTATTGAATGCTAATTGGTAGAGGGTAACTAGCATCAAGATAATCACTTACATTTATTGAGTTGGATGATCGGATGCAGGCCTTTCAAGAGCATGGTGAGATCGAAGAGGGTGCTGTGATTTACGACAAAGCCACGGGAAAATCACGTGGTTATGGTTTTATCACCTTTAAAGATATGGAGTCAGCTCAGAATGCACTAAAAGCACCAAGTAAAATGATTGATGTGAGTATTGTGGTTCATTTACCATCAGGAAAATCGGATGTTGTTATATGGTTCATCCAACTCAGCGTTACCCTTTCTCTGGTATCTTTGCTTTAGGGTCGTATGGCTGTATGTAACCTTGCAAGTGAAGGCTTAAGCAGCACCAGCGCCACACAGGATCAATCCCAAAGGAAGCTATACATTGGAGGTTTGTCACCCGAGATAACTAGCGAAATATTGCTCTCCTTCTTTGGGAGATATGGGGATATTGACGAAGGCTCTGTTGCATATGACAAGGACTCGAAGAAATCCCGGTAAACAATTCATCCACAGTTTTTTTCTCTTTAATGTAAAGTTTCAAATTCTGACAAATTCGGTTCTATTTCTAAAAGCGGCTTCGGCTTTGTTACTTACAAGACTGCTGAGGCAGCAAAAAGAGCTATAGAAGACCCTCAAAAGATGCTCGGAGTAAGTAAACACAATCCATTTCTAGCAAAAAAGCTGACGATAGTGAGGTTACTTACTAGAACGAAATTTATAAATAGTTTCATTATCGAGCAAATTGCAGGGAAGAAATGTGACGGTGAAGCTTGCTGATAATCACAAAGGAAAAGTCGGGCAATCACAGGCGCCAGTAAATATGAGTGGTGGATATCAACAACAGAGTGGCGGAACTGGAAACCCTATTGGATATAGTTATACACAACATATGGCGGCTGCGGCATATCAAACTGGTTCGTACGCAAGTCCAGCAGCAGCAGCTTCTCATTACTCGGCTCAGTCGCAATATTCTTATCCACAGTATGATTATAGGACAGATACTCCGCCACCTCAGCACTCGTCTTTTGCTGGATACCCTTACCACATGCCAAAGCAATAGCCACCTCAACTCAACTATAGGATGGGATGTTTTTCGAGCAGTTGTGATTAGGCTAATTAGGTTTGCTTAATTACTTTTTGACTGTTTTTGTTAATTGTCTCTCTTAGCTCTATGCTTCTTTACTTCTCTTTGATATTTTCTCATCTTTGTCGCAAGTGTACCGCCCCCCCAAAAACGGTAAAAAGAACCTGAATCGCCAGCGGCTCACACATGGCGGAAACCAC